TGTAAGCTTACAATTCAAAAGTATATATGGCTACAGAACAAATACTTAATTTTTCTCTTTGCAGACAGGAGAAGGCTACTTTGAGGCCTTCAAAAATGAGCTTGAGGCATTCAAGACGAGAGTGAGAATCTGGTCACAATCACATGGCTTTCAAACTATGTTACTCCATGATCTCAATGTCAGTCCTGGTTGTGTGGGAGAGTGGACATCTTTTTTACAGGTAGGTTTATTATTTCCAAAATTCAATTTAAGTAAAGCAGGACTAGGTCCTACTTAGAGAAGCTGTACTTTTCTGAGATACAAAGAGGATTATTTCTTGAATTGCTAATGCTTGGGATATATCATGCAATGTTATTAATACACAAGGCATTTATGGGCTTTATTTTTACTTGCTGGAATTCACAACATCAGCATAAGGTCAAAAGTATATGTTTGTTCATTGCCTTTACATTTTCATGCTTAAAATAAACACTGCATGATAAAACTGATCAGATCCTAGAACTGTATTCCCAGTCATCACCACAAGCAGTGTAAAATCATGGGATCATAGAACGGTTTGAGTTGGAGTGGAGCCTAAAGATCATCTAGTTCCAAACTCCCTGCTGTGGCAGGGACACCTTTCATAGGCCAGGCAGCCCCATCCAGCCTGGCCTTGAACACTGCCAGGGACCCAACAGCTTCTCTGGGCAAGAGAAGTCAAGTCTAAGGCAAGTCTCCCTTTGTGATAAAAGAGTATAATTAGGTCATTTTTGCAGTTCCAGTTATGGTCACATTCTAGAATGAAGAAATAACTCAAAAGATTGTCAAAAATTATGTATTAGGAAAGGAGTCACAATTGAAAGTACTTGTTTGAAATAATTTGATTAAAGTACCTCTCAGAGGTAGATCAAACAGCTGAATTTTATATAAATGTGCAGTTAGGTGCTAGAAATATTAATACCAAATACAAGCTATCATAGCAAATTTTTAAAATTCTTGACACAGTGACATAATACTGGTTGATGATGTTTTCAGACCTTACTTCCTTTCTATTGCAAATTTGCCTCATCATGAGATGGCCAATGCAAACAGTTTTTGTTTCTCTCTCTCTCTGTTTCTCCCTCCATCTATACAATTACAGAGCATTAAACTGTCAATTTTTCATTTGTTGCAGAACACAGGAGATCTGCAGGGTTCCGCAAACACAGATGTCTGCAGTTTCAACTCTGTGATACAAAGAGATGAAGAAGAATCCAAAATGATGGACACATTATAGTGCTTTTGAGACTGAGCCCAAGTACTCTTTTATGTCCCTTTTTTTTTTCTTTTTTTTTTTTTTTTTTCCAAAGAAGCAAACATGGCTATTTTCTTGACACTTATTTTTCTGGGTACTGCACTTTATTTTTCTTGTCAGATTTTTGTTGGTTTTTTTTTGATTTGGGGGGGAGGGACTTTGAAGGGTGGGTAATTAAGAAAAAAAAAAAGTAATATTGTTTGAAATGTGCTGCTAGGTTTTTAGTTGTCCTTGAAGAGCAGGGTTGTTATATTGCCGAATGTGAAACTGGATGTGTTTTCTGCTACTAACCTTGCCTTTCATGACTTTAGAGATTAAACATCTGCACAAATACAATGTTTACAAGAAGCAGCAGATTCTTGGTAGAATCTGCTATTGTCTTACTACAGATGTGGATATGTTTTACTCTGAATATTGGAGATTGCAACTGTATTCATGCTACTTTGCTGACAGTATAAGCTCTCAAATTTGGTTATCACTAATAGCAATAAATCAGTATCTGGTATCAGTATTTCTGATCTGAATGGATTAGATTAAAACACTGGCTTTCTACCTCTTCTAAGGGGATTTAAATGTTATATTGTACTTTCATTAAATGTAACTTGGTTTAATCCTAAAACATAAGCAACACTTGTCTACAAATGAGTGCTGGGTTGTATGATTTCTGGGAGTCTGATTCTCGTTCATCAGGCTAACTTCAGATTATTTTTTTAAAACCAAGTCTTGTTACAGTTAAGTAATTGAGGAAGGGAACTTATACAAGGGTTAGGCTAAGACCTCAGTTCAAACAAAAGGCTATGTTATAAGTCACATAGGATAGGTGTCATACATTGTTTGAAAGTTACTTCGTATGCTACTCAACCAAAGTGGGTTTCTGACTTTGTCAACTCAAACATTAAGTGGAAAAGCATTAAAAACCTCTTGTTTAAGAAGCTGGAAATCCAAGTACATTTTCTAGACAACAGAATCTTGCACTCCAAAACTCCACTGTGCTTTTCTAACTTGCTGCTATTACAGCAGGTCTGTCTATAAAAATGTATATTGTAATTGGAAGACTAGCAAAGACAGCATATGCCTCAGGTAATGGTATCCATACATATTCTTCATCCATTACTGAATTGTTCTGATTTTATGTAGGTTTGGAAGGCATACTGATTTCAAAAGTTCAGTGGTCATAGCGTACCTCCAGTTTTTAATTTATGCAGAATAGCCACAGGCAGTGCCACAAGGCTGAGGCAGAGTGGCTGCAAAGCTATCCAGAGGAAAAGGACCTGGGGCTGCTGGGGACAGTGACTGACTGAGCCCAGGTGGCCAAGAAGGCCAATGGCATCCTGGCCTGGGCCAGCAATAGTGGCCAGCAGGAGCAGGGGAGGGATTGTCCCAGTATACTCAGCACAGGTGAGGCTGCACTTCAAATCCTGTGTTTTGGGTTCTTTAGTCCAGAAAGACAAGGAGCTACTGGAGCATGTCCAGAGAGGGGCAGTGGCATTGGTCAAGAGTCTGAAGCACACGTGCTGTGAGGAGCAGCTGGGTGAGTTGGGGTTGTTCAGGCTGGAGAAGAGGAGGCTCAGGGGCACATTATCACTCTCTAAAACTGCCTGAAAGAAGGGTATAGCTGGGTGGGGTTTGGTCTCTTCTCCCAGCTAAGAAGTAACAGGACAAGAGGAAATGGCCTCAAGCCGTGCCCAGGGCGGTTCGGGTTGAACATCAGGACTTCCTTCACTGAAAGGATTGTCAAGCATTGGAATGGACTGCCCATGGAAGTGTTGGGAGTCACCATCTGTGGAAGTGTTTAAGAAATTACACCCAGTGCTGTGAGCTATTTGGCAGGCTTGTGACAGTCAGAGGTTGAACTCAATGATTTTGGAAGTCTTTTCCGACCTTAATGATTCTATGATTCTGTGAAATAGAATCCACTAATTTTCAGTTTTGCCTACAGCCAAGATACGCAAAAGTGTAAGTCTGAAGAATATACTGAGTATATTCTGTATAGAGTATACTGCAGAGTATTAGTACCAATGCAATAGCAGATACACTCATAGCTTTCCATATGATTTCTGCTCTCTAGCCTTCTTTTGCAAACAGACTGAAGATAAAAGAGCAAGGAGCAGTTCTGTCCCACATGCAAATTTGAGATAAAAAATACGAATTTCTACTGCATCTGGTTAAATTTGACAGATACTCCGGGAAAGGGCAAGTAAACACTGCCTCCTCCTTAATAATTAGCTAAATATTAAGGGAAACTTAAAGGAAAACAAGTAACTTCAGGTTGTTTTTTAACTGGATGTTGTATGCAAGGGTAGTAAGGCAATGTAGCACAGTGACTTGCTACCCTTAGCAGTGGAGCCATTGCTCTAACAACCTATTACACAGTAGAAGTTATTTTTTAAGTTTCTAAGGGGGTAAAACTGGATGGTGCAGAAATGTCAAATAAGGAAATTCCTTCCCCTCCTCCTGATTCACTGAAATTTATGTATGCTGGTAAGAAAAAATTTGACTTTTTTATTGAAATCAAAAAGTAACAATACAAGCAGCTAATCAGAGTTTCTCACTGTAATATGTAGGCATTTCCTCAAGAGGAAATGGTCAACCTTCTTGGCAAGCTTTCTTTAAATGAAAGGAAAACTGATTGTAGCGGGAGGTGCTGCTTATATTTTTCATTTATAGTACGGGGAAAACTTCACAAATTCTACAACGACTATCCCTTTTTAGACTCAAATGTGTCTCAATATTCATAATGCTAAAATTGGATATGCAGATGCAGTCCAAGATGTGTCAACACCCCAGCTCTGTAGCTGTTTATAGTCACTGCTAAAGGAGATTGGAACCTGCATTACTAGGACACAGCTACTTCAGACATTACCTATACAGAGTTGTTTGTTCCTCAGATTTTGCTGACTCTTGAAACTTCCACTCTGAGCATTAAAAAAGGGCTGGGAGGAGTCACTGAAAAATAGCAGTGTCTGCAGTCCCTGGACTGTTAAAAAGTGTGGACTGTGGAAGTTTGTATTTCCAGTCATCTAGTGAATTAACACAAGAGCTGGTCAGAGACGAGAACCTCATGAAAACCAGTCCAGTTGCTACAATAAAAATTGCTACAGTAATATGCCACAGTTAATATTTTAACCACTGGAAACCATGTCACTGGCATCAGTGAGCACTTGTTTTCAAAGATAGTAGAAAAGATGATCACTGGTCAAGATCATCTAGTTACAGGTTACCAGATTACACACTCTGTTCAGTATCTACTAATCTACTATCTTTTTACTGATAAAGTCTTGCAGGGACCCACAAAGACAGAGGCTTTACCAAATGTGTTACACATCATTGAAACTCCCATGCCTGCAAAATAGTTGCTCTGAGGGCAGAAATATAAACATAATACTTGCTTAGATAATTTGCCCTGGTACTAAGTGTAATTTATGGTGGGCAAAATCAAGTCACATCTGTGTAAGCAAACAAGAAGATAACCTTTCTATAAGATCAGCTTCCATACACACGAGCTCTGGTCTCAAATGGCTATTTGCAGACCAGCAGTCGTTGTTCACAGCTTCTGGCTAGCTCCAGCTAGGCACATGTTCAAGGAGTGTGCTTTCATATTCTTGTCATTGCTTCATTTACTGACTGAGTAAATCAGTCAATGTGCTTAAGCTGTACTCTGAAATGTATTTCCTTCATCAGTCAATATTGCAAATGTGTTCCAAATAAGAGACACAAGAGTACTGGCTTTTGTTAAAGACAGTTACTGTATTTTTAAAATTAGATATATTTAATATAAAAAATACAGCATTGAAGTGGCAACCACAGGCAACAAAATTTCACCATAGTGTAAGTTAAGAACAGCATTAGACTTAATTTATTGATAAGTCTGGTAGAGTACTTGGACAAATCCTTGATTGCAGAATCTCATATAATTAGGAGTGAGCTGTAACAGATGAGCAGAAGTTTGATCTATTTTCACCTGGGGTTGGCAGCATCTTTCTGGCTCACATCTGGCAACTTCATTTGAAGGAAAGCATAGATATGTGGCCAGATCTTATTAGTTTCTGTTCCAGAAAAGGATTTCAATAACCCTTTTTTCCTAAGGAAGAAAAAGAAGAAAGCATTACAGAATGTCAAATTGTTTAATTGTTCCAAAATCTCCACCTCATTTGATGGTTACCCCAGCAGGAGTGTGAAAATATGCATGTGATGTAACACCAAGAAAGCTGTAGCATTGGTAATGCAGGCTAGACATTGATTTCTGCTCAACAGTCCTGGAAGAGTACAGTGAAGGGTGGTGAATATGGACATACAGAAAGGACAATCATTGATGTTCTCAGAATCTAGCAAGGTAAAACTAGAGCTCTACATGGTGACCTACTACATATCTATATATTAGCATATGATGCTTGCAGCTTTACATTAAGAGAAACATTGTGTGTAATTTTGACTCTTAAAAGAACTAGTAATTTATTTCCACTCCACAATGCAAATGACAATTCTGAATTAGCTATTTACTCCTAGAGTCTTGCTAGATGGGTCCAGTCACAGTCCTGTTCTTAGAACAGCCACACTTAAATGCTCATTAACAGTTTCTCTATTTGTGTATCGCTTCTTGACCCCTTGCACTTACTAGAAGAGTTTCTACTTATACATCCAGAAAAAAAATATTGTAAATTCTTGGAAAAAAAAGGAACTGTTACCTCCACCCACCAGAGCTGTTGTCGCTCGTAACAGTACTATGATGTATTGAATAATGCATAGCATTCTTTATGAAGCTAAATGTGGCCGGCTGCAGTGACAAGTTATTTTACCACACAGGTTCCAGAAGGTCTCATGGAACCCTGGAAAATCATACTCATTCTGCTGAAAGCTACACAGCTACTCACACCACACTCACTGTTGTGGTATGATATATTCTGTAGCAGTGAGATCTGTTCCTCGCTATGCTGATGCCCAGTCAGATTTTGCAATGTGGAAGAACAGATTTTACTACTTACCGATAATATTCTAGAACAGGTTTTGTTTGTGCATCGTAAGCCTGAAGCCTCTTGCTGACAGTCTCTGGCTTGTCATCATCACGCTGAACAAGCGGCTCTCCAGTGATGTCGTCAATGCCCTAATCATGGTTAAAAGCAAATACCAGAGTATACTTCTGACTTCTCTTTAAGCATGCTTTATATAATTTTCTATTTAAATTATGATCAATTTCCCCTTAATCAGGGTGTAGATTTCTGCTTATAAAGAGAGGCTGCTGCCTGTGTTCTTGTCTGGAATATAAGTTGTTGACTTTCCAGTAAAACAGTCTGTGAGGTAAAAATATTTTCTCAGTATATTGCCAATGAATATTAGATCATAGTAACTTGACTAATTTGTCCTCTGGAACATTCAGAGAATATGGGGAATATGAAGACAAAACCTTCATGTCCAAACGAAAACAATACTGTTGGTAATACATTTCTGTATAATAGGAAATAAGAGACCAGTTGGACCTTCATTTGACAATACTAAAAGTGGGCAAAATCAAATGGCCATTTGATTTTAAATTGCAAAATGGAAGAGTTATCATTTAACAACAGCTGTACAAAAAATGGCACAAGAGTCAGCTGAAGCTTTCCCTACGGAGGTAGGGACCTAATGTGTGAACTTTTGTTCCTACTAAGTAAGTAAGCATTTTGCAGGTCTATTAAGATAACAGAGACAACCGTATTTCCCCTGTTTACCTCTACTCCATGTTTTGAATTTAAGTATTGTAGTCCACTGTGTTGTGGTAAGTCTGTTAATTAGTGAAAGGTAAGACAGATCCTAAATAGCAAAGCTCTGGCAGCTAAAGCCTACTCTGCTAAGTCTGAGAATTCTCTGTTCCATCTTGCCTGTGCTCTCCTGCAATTGAAAATAACCATGATTTTGAACACCTTGTTTTAAACAAAACAAAGGCAATATGTTCAGTTGCTCACTTCCATTGCTTACCTGGTATTTCAAGCTGGCCTCTTTTCCTGCAACACTGAAATACAAAAACTATAGGGCCTGCTGTGCTTCTGATGTAAATTAATAGAGCTTCCAGGCTGTTGTGATGCCACAACAGCTAAGTTATTTAGAGATAAGGATGAAATACAGTTTTAGCTGAGTTGCACTAAAGCAAATAGTTCTCAAAAAAACTTAAGATAACAATTTACACTCTTTATCTTCAAGCTCTTCTTTAGGATATCTCAAGTCATAAAAATCTGTTGAAAAGGTTCCCTGACTTGAAAGTTTCTACATCCAGTTTTGCAGTACAGCAGCTCTTCCCTTGAAAATACCCATCCTGGTTAAATACAAACACTGGGAAAGCATTAAGTGGATTCCTCTGACTGGTGGCTTGGTGTTTCCTATATATAAAGCATGACTCTTCTGGAGGAAGGAAAAGAAATCTACATTTTGGACTGTACAGGCTGCAAACAGGCTATGACCATGCCCAGATTGTGTGCCAGTGCACAAGGCAGACAGTATTCCAGATCAGTGAACAGCTTTAACAAGCGCTTACAAAACACCATGGTGTTCTGCTCTGCAGAGACAAATACATTGTCCGACAGCTTGAGGTTCTACCAGGTCACTAACATACCCTCATACCAGCATGGCGTTACCAGAAAGATTCTGTGCTCCCAAGAAATGAGATGAGCATTTTTGTTCTGAGCTGCTGTGTTTTGAAACACGTTATGCAAACAATATTTTGCTGCAGCTAGCAAATGCAGTGCAGTACTTATTTAGTGCCAACACCAATGGATATTGCTTACCTGCACTTTGGGAGGACTGAATTCAAGATTGTAGACTCTGCCACTGGCAGGGTGGATCCAGCGTGCTGTAAGCCGACACTTTATGGTCTCAAATGGCACGTCTAGGTCAATCACAGTGTCTATGTGACATTCTTTATCGAGGGCTTCTGCCTGAGCAACAGTTCTGGGGAAACCTTTTTAAAGGAAACAACTTGATAAAATTCTGGAAGCAGAGTTGTAGCAAAGATTACCTGGATTGAGTCATTAAAGAAAATAATTGTTACAGAGCAAAAAAAAACCAAAAAGCATTGTCATGTTCTATAAAGATGGAAGAGACATCAGATTTTCCAATATTTTTCAGCATGTCAATGCATTTTAACTTTTTAAATGCCTCCCAGCTTTTATTTCTTCATTTCAGCTAATCATCTTCCCAAAAGTGCAAGAAATAAATGCAAAAAGACCCTATATTCATATGTACACCACATACCACTACACTGAATAAAAACACTGTATACACATTTGGAATAATAAAAGCGCCAATGAAAAGTTTCCCTCAGAACAACCTGGAAACATCTGTGATATATCTTACTTTCACTTCTGTGTTAATCTGTCTTAAGGTGATGGCCATTACAAACCTGTTTTATTCAGCTGCAGTAAGCCAAATCTGTTTACCAGAGGCAGTACAGGATTTAGACGGTTTCTAAAAGTTTTAGTGTATCAGACTGCCCTCAGATGGGATAACTGTGAGAACACTCAGGCTGATCAGGAACCTGTCTCCTCAAAGACGCTGCATTTTGCCCTGTCAACTCTGTGGCTCCCTATTCTATGCCTTAAATTATTTGATAATCTAGTGGAACTTAGGAGAGGTGCACTGGGAACAAAGAACAAGAAAGCACACATCTCCACAAAGAATTTGAAATGAAAAATTGAGCACAAGACCTTCAGTGGTCAAAGCTACTACAGAACATGGAACAGTTCCTTTCCTCAAAAAGCTCTAGAATAGTCTCATTTTCTTCAGTAGCTTGCACCATACTGTACAAGTAAACTTCTTCATAAAGGTAAGTACCAATAGGCACAAACTTAAGAAATTCTTGCATAATGTTGATCTGTGCTTTGCATGAGTAAGGAAAAACATTACAAAAAGGCAGAGTTGATTAATTCACACCAAGTCTTTGCTTGTGCTTTAAGTCTCTTGCACCTGGCTTGCATCACAGTCATAAGCTGCCCTCATCCTATTTCTCACACATTCACATTATCTCATGAAAGTGCTTCTAAATGTTAAGAGCAGAGGAAGAGCTAGGTCTTCAACACTGCTGTTGAACACTGTTCAATAATTGCTGTTCTTTCTTACTATTAGCAGCCACCATGTTTCTAAATTATGGAGCTGGAAAGTGAGTTTGCTTGGGACTGAGTAATGAGAAAATTCCTCAACAAATTGAACTGCCTTTAGAAAAGCATTTCATTGAAATTGAACTGACATTTTCTACACAGTGTTCTCTCTATACAGAAAAAAGATCTGCAAGAGGTGATGAATTATGAAGATTCCAGGAACACAGAGAAAATGCTCTGGATTATACAGCTCATAAATCTAAACGGATTATACCCACAGACACATAGAACTCAGACTGCTACATCTGCTATGACAGAAGTCACCAACCTATTGTAAGGTTGGGTGTTTGGCTAAGTGAATGTGCAAGTGGTTCAGCAGCTCTGGTTTGAGCTAACTGACCCCATCTGTTTGTTCTGCATTGCAGTTACCAAACTTAAGATTTTGGGTTAATATGTTTCAACAGAACAGTGTTGTTCCTGTGAAGCCCATTATGCCAGACCTATCCCTAGTGTAACTCAGTGGGTCTCATTACAGATGCTGATGCAGACATGGAAAATTTCTGCTGCAAAACTTAAAAGGCAGTAGCACATTAACATGCAGCAGAAATTGATTTATTTTCTTATGGTCTTGACACAATCCTGCTGAGAGCTGCCAGTGGGCACAGCTATACTGCTACACATCCAGATCCACAAGACTGGAACTGTATGTACATGGGACCTGAAACTAAAGGAAAAAAAAAAACAATATCTGCCATTATTTGCTTTATGGTTTAGGTTTCATTGTACTGTTCACTGTGGGAATAAAGCATTTCTCTCAGGAAGGAACCCAGCTGTGACTAAAGCCACCAGAACATATCACTGTACGTAGGAACAACTATATAAATATAACTATAATATTAATAACACAGAGGCCACTGTGGATTTTTCACTCCCTCAAAATAGAAAGACACACCAATAATTTTTTGTTTTATCTACTGAGACAGGTTGTGACTGGAGTCTGAAAAAACATGCATCCAGCCTAGACACTATTTTTGTGCTGGGCATCCAACTGTACTTCCATGGGCTGGAATAACAAGTCATCCAGTTCGTGAAGTCAGCAGCAAATGCATTTTCTCTCTAGCAAGAATGCTGAAGGAATGAGCTTACACTGCAGAACTGCAAAACAGTTCACTCTGGAGAACAGAGCCAAACAGCAAATGAAGGAGACCTCTTAGGGCAATTGAGCAATACTTTTGATTACACTCCACACTGCTGCAGTACTTTTCCACACTTACCTTGTTACTGTATCGCATTCCTACCCTGCTATTTAAATAATTCCAAAGCCTCATCCTTCAAAAGTTTTCCATACCCAAGAACTTTAATAAGAAAATGCTTTAAAAAGTAAACTTCTCAATGCCTATTTTAATGGGGAAATACCATATGAATGATCATAAAAAATATCAGAATTGCCAGTTTTATATTTTTTCTGGGTGTTGAACTCCCTTTTTAACATGAGTTAAGTACCTCTGTAATGTTCTGAAGACAGGGTACACCCAAAGCATTTGTCAGCCAAAGAAACTGGGGCAGACTATCTGCTGAAAGTTTCACAACAAGCTGGCTATCAGCAACCAAGGCAGTCCCAAGTTTTCCAGAGCAGATTTTCTCTCCATATATAGTGATATCCAACATGATAACTTACCATCCAATAGCCAGTTGTACTGGTCTAGACCTTTTATCTCATTCAGCATTAGTTGTGTCATGATGTGATCTGGAATAAGCTGCCCTTGGTCAATGTAGGACTTGGCAAGGATTCCCACTTCTGCAAAAGTGAAAGTTGCATTATACTATCTCTGACCTCCAGAAAATGAGAAAAAGCCCACAAGCCTGCAAAAAAATAGTTTTGATCAGGATGATGAAGAAAAGTTGTAAACAAGACAGACAGCATGCCTGCCAAAACTAAAAAATATCCAGATGATCAGAGGATCTGACCATACAAATATGTATCAGATTAATCAGATCCACCTGTAGGGCAAAACACACTTCTATCCTCACACCCTCTGAATAAATTTACTAGAATGTACTTGAAATATGAAGTTCCAAAAACTAAAACGAGAACAGGCCATTAGCTAAGAGTCTTCAAAATCAGAAATAGAAAGGATACAAATTTATTAAGATATCAGCCCTCAGACTTCCTGAAAACAAAGTTTATTTCCTTAGCTCAGTGGCTAGTTATTAACTTACACTTAGGCTTCATTACAAACATAAATGCCTTTGGCAGTCTGCAGTGGGACACAATTGAGAAGTATGTATTTTTATGATTACTAGAGTTGCAAGAGGGTTTATAGATATTGTACACTATTTATGAGAGTACACACACACACTAGTATTTTCCCATGGAACTGACTAACCTTTAGTACCAGTCATTTATCCCACTGGCTCACTAAAATTCCATCCATGCATTGTCGTTCCAGCTATGACACTATGCTCCTACATGGCAGGCAGTAGCATGCTGTAGTTCACCCAAATCATGGGTATAGCCAGGAAGAAATTCAGTTGCCTGCGTTGTATCCTAGGCGCAAAGTTTGTGTATCTTTCATTTAAAAAACAATTACCCAGTTACGTTAAGTAACCCAGAATTGCAGCTAGACTGGTTTTACTGTGGGTCTGCAGAAGCCTTTACTTGCAACCAGTTAAGATCTAGAAATCTCTTTAGTTACAGAAAACTAAAGAGAAAATGGGATGGACTGACATACCCACACAGGTATGACCACTTTCAGCAGAAATGAAAGACAAATGCCAGTCCCATCACTCAGTGCGTGATATGTGCAACAGGACAGAGGCCCTTCTTCAGATGAGGCAACTGAAAAGCAGTACATGCCCTCAAATAATGCAGATAGTAGCTTTGGTGATGAGAAAAAAACATTGTAAAAAAAGAACAACTTCCCCTTACTGCCTGTTCACATCTGTAGTCAGGCTTTGAAAATTACAAAGACCATTTAGAAATAGGCACTGTGCACCTTGGCCAGACTTCAAAACATGCTCACTATATGGAAAAGAGTCAGACTGTGGTGCCTGAGTCCTTCAGCACATCACAAAATAGAAAGAAGGTGACTGTCTCTCTGTGTACAAAGTGTCTCTTCCCTACCTCCCTTCTTCAGATCTTTTTTTATTATTCTAGTGTGCTTTGAACCATGTACACTGAAAAAGTGGGTTGGGAGAAGGAATAAATCATGTCTACATAGTTTAATGTGTAGTTGATGCTTGGCTCTTCTACTGATTTATGTTGCAGCATTGCTCTAGCCACAATGATCAAAAAATATTTGCAAGACAAGGTTCACAGGGAACAATGCCAACTTACTTTGGAAAGATTCATGACGTTTTGTGCCTAGAAAGGTTTAGCATATGGCAAGTTATAATTAGACCAACAGAGCTTGAAAAATGCTGCCTTATGCTCCCCTCTACAGAACTCAGGTAATTTAGAAAGTCACTGTTACAGAGGGAAAAAATAGGCAGAACCATACCCAATAGTCATATATTAGGACAAAAAAATTGATACACTAGGTCAGAGCTTTTTTTTTTTTTTTTTTTTTTTTTTTTTTTTTTTTTTTTTTTCTTCCTCCTGCTGTTGGGAGTGGGATTTCATGGGGTTTTGTAGGTTTTATTTAGTTCTGGGTTTTTTCAGGTTGGGTCTGAAACCACTAAAGGCATGGCAATCTTCAGAATTACAGGTAACAAAGGTTTCTGTCCTTTGTAGGTGATGACAGGTATCCATTTCCATGGTTTTACAAAGGATCAGCACGTTCTAACCACATTACAGCAATCAAGCTCTAGCCATAACCAGACAATAATTACCTTAGCATTAGAGAGGTGGTCACAGACTCTCTGCTGTCCAGAAGAATATGATAATAACTGCAGAATGATAAGGACACTCATCTTCAACAGGACTTTTCAACCATGTCCATTTTCACAAGACAGCAAATAGAAAATTTGCACCATACAACTACTGTTAGCTATATCTAATTTTCCAGGGGCTTTAACTGCCCATCTTAGTGTTACTCATTTCCCAAGGAATTGAAATTTGCAGGATTCTTCTGTTGTCATCAAAACTCATGGATCTTTGCCTTGACTGAATTTGTCTAGGCTGTCTGAGTTGCCTCTCAGTTCTTCTCCTATTTTCAGTGTACTACCTAGTCCTCCTACCTCATACTTCATCTCAGCCCTCTGGGAACCATTTCTGAAACTAGTGACTGACTTTCAAAACTGCAATAGAGTTCCCTGTGGTTTTACTAGTGAATGAGAAACTCCGTAGCAGATTCTGTTAAATTATGCTTAAATTAAACTTAGAGCAAACTTCACCTCTTAAGCTGTCCACTGACTTCTTTCCTTATATTCTGGATTTTTATGTGCCTGCTAGACTTCCATTTCACATTTGCTCTCCTTCACAGTCATTCTTCTGTCCAACCTACCTAGAATTCTTTGCATAATCACTTCTCTCTCCATCACTTCAGGTTCTCACCTCAATTCAAGCAATCTGACATTTCCACTTGGAATCTCCTCTTCTCACACAACCTTTTGCATGATTCTGGTGCTCTACGGTCTTGCACAAAACCTAAAGTATTTAGTAAACATTGTAAACCTCAAAACACTTGGTAAAATAACATTTCCTTCATTTTCTTGGAATGGCTACCCACCACATTTTACACTGAAAGTTCATAACAGAACACTTTTGTGACCCTCTATAAATAAAAACATATGATTCTGTAACTAAATAGAAATAGCATGAATATGATCAGGTCTGTCTACGCAGGTAACGTAGCAAACTCTTAACTTACAGTATCTACAGTATCAACTATAGTAAAGTCAGTCACTGTACTGAAGTCATTATCCTTACCAAGTAAACAAAATTTGTGTAAAGATGTGGGAATCACATCACAACTGCTTCACCTTCAAACATGCTTATGAGTATTCCAAAACTAAGACTGTTGGTTACCTAGGCATAATACTACAGTGATAATTGCAAGTGAATGGAATATTCTACAGCTTGAAGTTGCTGGAAATAATAACACTCTCACTTCATCATGTGCAGCCTGAGATGGTTCTTACAAGGTTTTTCAACCCACCATATAGAAAAGCAGATGTCTAAGTCAGGAGGGAACCTTCCATCATTGCAGAAATCCACCAGAGAGAGGGACTGTGGTATCTCAACTGAGGCCAGAGGCCAAGCTAGAACTGTTCAGCAAGAATAACTTGTATATTTACTAAATATAAGCATCACTGTATGTAAACACAGATCATGCTGAAACCTAAGCATGATATGAACTCATAAGACAATAATAATTTTAAGAGCTATGCAGTTTGAAAATTTTGCACGTTGCTTTTTTTTTTTTTTAAATCACCACTATGCTATGCCTGCCAGCTCAGGACTAGGTGTAATTTTGGAATAGCTGTTAACAATTCTAGGTACCCCTACTTCTAGCCATCAAATGAATATCCAAAAAAGTCTGATTGCTCAAAATCCCTCCTCTTGCCCTGCCTGTTAAAAGACGTGAATATTTTTCTCTTTCATAATATTTTCTCTTTTTTTCTTCCAGCTGGAGAAACAATGAGAAACTATCAGAACTACCAGAAACACGTACAAAAACTACTGTGTGCTTACAAAAAGCACCCAAGACAAGGAAGCAATGAGTTGTAACAAAACAACAAAACCAGGATAACCCCGTCCACCTTCATGCAGAGGCTGGCAAGTGACAGCGTATGGAGGACCCACGGCTGCAGACTACGAGGCCCGCGCCAGTGGCCCCTGGCCTCCAGAAGAGCTGTGTGAAGCCGGGGGGGGCACACGGAGGTAGGACTGGGGAGCAGCGAACCCCATTAACGGAGCGCCCCCCCTTCGCGTTGGGGAAGGGAGGGAAGGAGCGGGGCTGGGGCCAGGAATGTGTGTTGTGAGCGTGCGTCCCTCCCGGAGCGGAGCCGTGTCACGCGGGAGCTCGCCCAGCGCTGCGTGGGGACCGCTCTCGCGGGACGGGCACAGGAAGAGCGGTCGTCGCAGCCGCGCACACATCCCCACCCGCGTCCCCATGCCCACCTGTCTTCCTCTGCATGTTGTCCCTCAGCAGGTCGCCGCTGGAGAGGTGCTTCACGCCGAAGTGCTTGATAATCCGAGCGGAGACGGTGCCTTTCCCGGAGCCCGGCGGCCCCATGATGACGGCGCGCAGCAGCGGCGCCACCCCCATGCTGCCCGCGCTCCCCTGCCGCGGGCGCGCAGGGCGCGGCAGGAGCCCCGCCTTCCCGGGAGCGCCGCCTCACACCGCCGGCGAGCCCGGGCCGGTCCTCCCTCCAGGGAGCAGCCGCGGCAGCTTCTCCGGCTGTCAATCACGGGCAGGAAGGAAAGATCCTTTACGTAAGTGCGCGGGGGGAGGGAGGGAAAAATTAATAACGATAATAAAAATATAAATGAAGCAAATTTCATCTTAGAACGTTGCATCAGACCGCATTTAGGCATCACTGTTCAAACCGGCCATGACCAGCTTCCCCGCACCCCTCTGCCCAGGAGGCCCATTTTGGCTGCTCCCTAAGCCGTCAGCCCCTGCTCCCCTCAGACACAGAATCAGAGTCATTTGCTTTGGAAGAGACCTCAAGAGCTCCGAGCGCAACAACTAATCCATCCCTTAACCATGCCCCAAATTGACACAAGCCCACCTGTTAAATATCCCCAGAAATGGTGACTCCACCGCTTCCCTGAATTTTCATGAGGGTTTCCCAAACTGAGCTGGGACGTGGCTCCTTACCTGGCTGTCACCTAATGACTGCTTGGCTGCTGACACGTCCCATTGCTGTCACTGCCCTGCCCAGGTGCCCTGAGGCTGTGGCTGACCTTGCTGTGCTCCTTCACCCCCATGCCTTGCTCTTGCTAGTCTCTCACAAATGAGCTCCCACTGTCTAGCAGCAGGCAGTTGCGTTTTTAATGAGCTGTGCCTGAGTTTTGTTTATGGTACTTGAATGTGAACAACTGCAGGTTGTCCTTGTTCTGAGTAATGTTCTTCCAAACACCAAGATGTCCTTTCCCACAGATACCATTTGGTCATCCTCAGCTACATCAGAATACAATATTTTGGCCAAAACATTAGATTGTCCCATTTCCTGAGTGTTCACAGTCATATCCACAGAAGTGAGTCTTCCTGATAAAGGTTCTGGAGATGCTGCTAGATCTCAATCACTGTACCAGAAAGGAAACAGTGAAAAAGTGACCAGAAAGCAGAACTAGAGTCAAAACATCAACGATTCAGCTTCATGATTTAAAACATTGTTTCATATTAATAGTTTCACACTGAAACAAGTAAAGCCATAAGAAAATATTCAAACAGCTTTTTGGTACTTTGAAACAGAAAAGAAATAGCCAACAAAATTAATTGCCTTAACAATTAAGTTGGAAGGCACTGGCTTAGCTCATAGAGCGTACTATGAGCATAAGTCTCATTGCCCTGAAAAATGTGAACCTTCACAAATGAATATGATAGTACCTCTATTCCAGATTGTATTAGGACAGAAAGAGTTAAACATTCAGGGCTTTAGCAGCGTTCCCAGGGCAACACTTCAGTCTGCCAAACTACCATAGTCTTAAACAAAATTTGGCAGCAAAGGCCATTTAAATGTTAGAAGCCACACTGTTCGTTTTAAGCTCCACAATTTAGAGACTTCTGAATGGCAGAAGTCCACAATGTGTTGATAAATCTTCCTAAAGCAAATATTATGGAAAATTGAAGGTATGAAATACATATCCAGCAAATAACTAGACTTATCAGAGAGCTCATTAACTCTAATGTCCAATGCCACCATGTATAAAAAGCAGCAATCATTTATTTGCCAGTTAAAAAGGAAGCCTGAGGTTCAGCCACTCTACAGGCCTATTGAGCAGCTCAGAAATCCAGACGGGAATGCTAAGACAATCCCTTTGTTAAAGTCTATTTAGAAACCTCTCTGAACTTCATAACAGATTCATGAGGAAGGGGTGGAAAAGAACAGAAAGGCACTTCTCCCACACACACAGGTTCTTACTAACCTGTGGCCTTTGCAGAACAGAAGCAGGTACTTAGATTACAGAAAATAGGTAGTAAAAAAAATTATTGTTCCCATTTCCTTCGCTATCTTTCCTGAAGTCCAAACCTCGCTCTGGTAGTTTTGTGAGTAGTTGCGACATATTCAGAAGTGGAAAAGGAAATGATGGAAGCAATGGGGTCAATTGTTCACTAGTTTGTATAAAGTTTTAAACAGCTATTCTGTACTTAAAGACACACAAGTGTTTTTTGGCAGCCTCATTATGATGTTTGGAAAATAATATTTCATCATCTTAATTCAGACTTAATTATTCACATAACAGAGTAGTCAATGCTTGTGCAACACAGCTTGCACTATATTCTGATTAATCTTTTTCACACATGTAACCTACAGGTATAAATGAAAAACTTAACTCTTGCTTAGTGAGTATAGAAGTAACCCTCATGGTGACTGAACAGTAATGAAAATCTGATTTCAAACAAATCCAAGTGGTCTTACCACTAAATAATCTTTCATTTTTTTAAACATAAGAAATGCTTTGAAGAGGTTTTTTTAAGCCTTAAACCATCAAAAGAGTTTCTGTCAGGTATGCTCCTTGGAGGTCTAAATCCTTTCTTCTGAGTTTGATGTAGAATTATTTTAGTACTGTTGGGTAACTACTTCCCAAGTGTTGTATTTGTATCAAAGTGAAATGGTTACTTGCATGAGGAGGAAGTCATAGTACACTGATTGGCAGGGCAGGACATCTGACATGATCTGCCAAATAATTTTTGTACCTCATTTGGTGGCGGAGTGGACAATTTGATGGGTATAAGCCCGGCTGGAACAGAAGTGTAGTGCTTAGTGTTTTGTACCCTACCAAAAGCTGCTAACAAGCATGTTTTTCCAGGGCCTGTCCTGGCACCTTGTTTTGTCTAGTGTCTGTGAATAACTGGAAGAGAGAAGAGCGCACCCTCATCAATTCTGTAACACCAAACCACGTGGCCTGAGCACATGGGCTTAGGGGCAGGAGGTGGAGTTCTGAAAGAACAGATGGGGAAAGGGGCCAAGCAGGACCCTGGCAAAATTCAGCAAAGGCAGGTACAAAGTCCTGCATCCAGGACACTACTTCCAACAGTGCAGGCTGGGGACTGACCAGCAAGGAAGAAACTCTGCTGGAGAAGACAGGGGAGAACCAGTCTACAGCCAGCTAAGCACCATCCAGCATGAGGCCACTAACATCCTGAGCCATATTAACAGGAGGGTAGCCACGACATCAGGGAAAACAGATATTCCTTTGTATTAGGCACTTCTTAGGCCACATCTGTGTGCTGTGGCCAGTACTGCGCCCTCCAGTACAAAACAGGCATTGATCAGTTGGGGCAGGTTTAGCAGGAAGTGGCCAAGGTGATCAGGGGATGGAGAAGAGACACTGCCACAGACAGATGGAACCATGCTTGTTCAGACTGGAGACAAGAAGGGTTCAGGAATACCTAACAGCAGCCTTCCAGCCCCCGCAAGAAGGTTACTGAGAAGGCAGGGACAGGCTGCTTACTAAGATGAGTGGCAGGACTTGGCAAGTCAGGCAGTGGAATCTAAGTATTAGTAGACTGAGGTTTTTAAGACCCCACTGGATAAAGCCCCTCGCAACCCAGTCTGACCTTGCTTTGGTCCACAGATTGGGCTACAGATCTGGATTCCAACCTGGATAAGGCTGTGATGCTGTATTTGTAAACAAGATACCCCATTAATAATGTTTTTTTTAAATAATGCATTGACTACTTATCCAGTGAAGGCTAACATATATACACAACACAGCTGAAAATTCTCCTTCAAAAAATATATACCATCAAGAACACTTGAGGACAAGATTTTTTTATTAGATATAAGTTGAAATACATAGAATGAAATGTTGCTGTTGAACTGTTTCCTTTAAAGTAGCAAAGACATAACTCTTTACACACCAAAAATGTAGAGCTGTGATTCTTTATTTAGATTTAAATAGTGTTTTATTGCAAAGAGGGATATCACTATCATTTTTGTGGTGTCACTCCTACCTTTATTAAAAAGCCTAATTAATTATTCTTCACAGATGGCTGAGTATAGCAAATTGACACTTATACATAGCATGGCTTGTTCCAAAACTCTAAGTTTCCTAGGAAATGTGTATTCTTCAGACAGAAATTCACTGCCTGTACACCAAGCTTGTGTACACTCAAAACCTTATTTGTGACAAAGCTGAAGCACACCTTATTCACAAAGTGAAAAATCTATTAACATAATTGAAACTCTAACAGTGTCACTCAAGAATGATTCATTATTACAGAAAGTTTATGCTAATTACCATTATTAAGTTTTATTATTTATTATATAAATAATTAATTGCTCCACACACACTTCTTCGTTTTCCCCATTCTCCTGGTGTTGTATTTACCTCTCTCCTCTTCTTGCCTGGGTCCCAAGGTCTCACTCAAGTGAGGGTGGTGGGGTTATGGTGAGTCATCAGCATCTGGACTCCCTCACCAGGAAGAATGCCATGCTCCTTCCTCATCCCTGTAGGGTTCACTCAGAGTTGTTTTTGTATGCTTGCTAACACAATGTTACACCTTGCCTTTTCTTTGTCTTTTTTTGCTAAACCAGTTGTATCCAGCTCCAGGTCTGCAACCAAGAAAAGAAACATAAAATACAATAAAAATAAATTACCCATAGAAAACCTGTCAAAACTGCTCTCACAATTAAAGGAAGCAAACCAAAGCTGCAAGCAGATCAAAGAACATTCAGACAATGCAAATCTGACTAACTTCTGTTCTGATGCCTTGGAAATTCAATAAAAGGCTTATGTCCTGTTACGAGCAATGGCAATATTTTGTTGGAGTCACAAGTTGATAATAATCAAATACAGAATTTTAGTTATTTGGAAAACATTTATGTTGTCTCAGGTTCTTTTGAGCTGTATTTGGAGTTTCTAATTTTAGTCCTATAAAAAGCACTCACTGCAGATTGTTTAGACATCCCTCAAAATAAACATAAATAGGAAAAGAAATAAAGTTCAAGTAAAAGAGAAGTTACATAGCTGTGTTTCCGAGACTGTGTGAAAAGTCTTGGGAGGTATGTAAACTAACAGAAATTCAGAGAAATGTGTTATCATTTTGCATTCTTGGAGCCCTCATATATTAGCAAAAGACAGATCTCTTTTGGAAGTTTCTGTAATGACATTTTCTGTATTGTATATCTCAAGTGATCAAACTATCAGGAGACTGTCATGTTCTCCAACCACTGATTAAATGAAAACTAATATTTGCCTGAGTACTGAGGTAAGCCAGTAATAGCTTTACATTTTGAGGTTATATTGTAACAGCTGCCCAGATCATGACATGTGTATATCTCTGAGGTGCCACTCCCTCTCTCTGTGCCACCTCTAGGCAGTTGACAAAAATCATTTCCCTGACTCCAGAAATCCTTGAACTTCTAGCACAACAAGCTAATAGCATTCCCAGGGAAACAAAACCCCTCCTTTATGTCACTGGGTATTTTTATGAAGATAGAGCTTTCATTACAGGGATACTTACATTATACCAGGAGAGTATATATGCCAGTGTTTTTTTACAGAAGCATCTTATTTCAGTTACATGAGAAAATTCTGACTGCCAATGGAATAATTCTTGGGGAAGACTGTTTTCTGTTTTGTCCTACCAATTTTGTTTTCCCATGCCTTGACATAAAGCAGATACTTGCAAATTGTTAACAGATGATAGCAAGTAATGGGAAGTCACAGAAGAAGGACAGGATGGACAGAACTAAAAATACATGTGTGGGAGCGCAGGGGAGTACACAAAGGAAGACAGAGATTTCATTCAAAGTAGACGCAGTTGACTAGACATTTTCAATGCAAATCTAAGATACAGAGTTCAGACAATGCAGTGAAAAACATAGTCCCAGCAGCAGCACCTGAAAGCCTTTCACACAGCTGTCTTCACAGAAGAAGACACTAGATTTCAGTGGGAGTGTTTGTCCTCTATCACACGCCATATCCACAAACTCACAGCAAACTTAGTTATTTAACTACTGCCCTGAAATTACGTCTAAAAGGCCTGTGAATGAAGGAAATTAAAGACGACAAAGTTGCTCCCTGATAATAGGAAACAGTTAAGTGCCAGACTTCTCCATTCATCATGAAGTTTAGCACTGTTTGTTCTGGAATTCCAAAATACCCTCCAAACTCTGAAACCCAAAGGAATTATGCAGAGAGTTGACTGAATTTAATTGTTTGTAAACAGGAAAACAAACCACTGATTTATTAAGAACGTTTTAAGAATTTTTTGTGAAGTTTGGACATAGATTTATTAGCTCTGAGAAGATACGTATGTTCTTTACCTTCCTTACACTCAGTTTTCTCTTAGTTCTGTTCAGTGCATAACAAAAAGAATTTCACCTGTCCAAGCCTCCCCCTATTTTCTGCTATATTCTAGATCAGAGCTGCAACTGGCAACTAATTTCTTACACACAGAAAGCTACAATTCTTTGATTCCACAAAACTGTCCATGACAGAACTCTCTTTTTCTAAAAATACAGTGAGGTTTCTCCATTAATAGCTCTAGATATTTCTGCCCATATCTCAGAAATCTTGGACATCACATATGTGAACAAATGCTGTTTAACTGCTGTCATTTTTTGATTCTCATTTTCCACAAATTTCTCAATATGCTTCTTTAAAAAATTTCTTAGGCTTTGTTTCCACACAGATGTGGTCTTTTGACTAAGATGTACAATTTTTTGGCGTTTGATTTCTTTGTCTTACCACCTGGGTCTGGGAAATCCAAAGCATCTGCACAGTCTGTGTGGTAAATGGATTAAGTGGAGAAGAAATTTAGGATACTGGTATGTGAAAAATTGGACTCCAGCATAAAGAGCAGTGTGTCCAGCTGGTCAAGGGGCATGATTGCCCTTTTCTACTCCACGCTTGTGAGACCCACCTGGATTTTTGCATCCAACTGTGGAGTCCTCAGTTCAGGAAAGACAAGAGGACAGTCTTAAGCTGTGGTAAGGAATATTTAGGAGGAATTTCTTCACAGAATTGTTGATTGGGCATTCAAATATGCTGCCCAGGGAGGTGGTGGAGTCACTGCCCCTGGAGGTTTTTAAGAAAAGACTGGATGTGGCACTCAGTGGTCGAGGCAACAAGGTAATGTTTGGTCATAGGTTGGACTTGATGATCTCAAAGGTCTTTTCCAGCCTAATCAATTCTGTGATTCTGCCTCTGTGGTTCTGCAACATGGACCTGATTCAATCAGTCTAGATGTGGGTCACAAAAATGATTGGTGGGCTGGAATAATTTCTTCTTGAGGAAAGGCTGAAAAAGCTCAGATTGGTCAGCCTGGAGAAGAGAGGGCCTTGGTGTGAGCTCATTGCTGTCTTTCAGTATTTTTCGGGGCTTATCAGAGAGACAGAGAGAATTTTTACCAAGAAATAGTGACAGGACAAAGGGCAAGAGTTTTACATTGAAAAAGGGTAGATTTACCCTGGACATAAGGAAGAATTTTTCTACAGTGAAGGTCACGAGGCACTGGCACAAGCTGCCAACAGAAGTTGTGTATGCCCAATGGGGACCTGTAAGTGTTGAAGACAAGGCTGGATGGGGCTTTTAGCAACCTGGTCCATGGAAGGTGACCCTGCCGATAGCATGAGGTTGACTAGATGATCTTTAAAGATCCCTTCCAAACGAATTAATTCTGCTTTTCTGTGATACAAAGCTTGCAGACCAGTGTATCAACACAACAAATATCCTTATGCATTTTGTCAGCAAGCAGCTAATAATAGGTGACTTGGTTCCTTCAGTTTCTGTAAAGTGCGCCTATCATGGCTTTAAAAAAAGAAGTTTTAGTCTCTGGAAAACAATTTAGTAAAATAAAAAGTGGTTATCATTTGTAAGGAAAATTGTTTGACTTTTGCTGTGCAACAGTGGAAGGTGCTGCTGACTCTCCTGAGGGCCAAGAAGCCTTAGAGTGAGAGGGATCTGGATAGAGTGAAGCACTGGGCAATCACCAGTGACATGAAGATGGCAAGTCAAATGCCAGATTCTGCACCTGGGATAGAGAAATGCCAGACCCAAGTCTACACTAGGAGAGGGGCAGTTCTGGGGTTGCAGAGAGGGCTCTGAGGGCGCCATCCTGATGCAGCAAACCCCATCCTGAGATCAGCAAACGCCATCCTGAGATCAGCAAATGCCATCCTGAGTGCAGCAAACGCCATCCAGAGATCAGCAAACCCCACCCTGAGTGCACCAACCTCGGCACTCTATGTGTCCCTCTGTGTCCAGCGTTAGGGCAGGGCCCCTCCTCGAGTGCTGGGTGCAGCTCTGGGCTCCACCATTTCAGAACCATGGGAAGGTCCTCAAAGGTGTCTGGAGAAGGGCAAGACAGCTGGTGGAAGGACTGGACACCATGGCTGTGAGCAGCTGCTAAGGGCTTAGGGTTTGTCTAGTCTGGAGGAAAGCAGGCTGGGGGGCAACCTCCTTGCTCTCTGCAGCTTCCTGAGGAGGGGAAGTGGAGAGGGAGGTGCTGATCTCTTCTCCCTGGGATCCAGTGACAGAATGTGTGGGAATGGATCAAAGCTGCACCAGGGAAGGTTCAGACTCACCATTAGGAAGCATTTCTTTATAGAGAGGGTGGTCAAGCCTGATGATGCCCTGAGCCTATCAATGTGTAAGGGGCGTTTGGACAGAGCCTGTTTAAGAGCCTGCTTTACCTTTGGGTCGGCCCTGAAGTGAAGCAGCTGGGCTAAATGATTCTTGTACATCTCTTACAACTAGACTCTTCAATTACAATAAACTTCTTTTCATGGGCACGTAAATGTAGCCTAACAATTGACATTGTCACACCTCCACTGTAATCGATGTTTCTCTTAAAGAGACTGAAAGCTTTAGTCGGTCTCCTCCTTAAGGACAGCAGGACCCTGTCAGCATCATTAAGCAAACAGGCTGTCCCAAGGAGCGCGAGCAGGACTCATTCCTCCGCCGTTTTCCTTAAGGTAAACAGGGGTAAATTACTGAAAAGTATTGCCTAGGGAACATGATCCCAGAAATCGACTCATTTGGATGTGGGGGCAGAATCCTTGTGCGGGCACCACGTTCCGCTCCGGACCGTCCTTACCCGCCCGCCGGAGGAGAGCCCACCCGGAGGAGCAGAGGGCCGGGTCCCGGTCAGACACATTTCCCCACACTTCCACACTCCTTAAGTTTCAACTGAAAACAAGCCGGCTGGGAGAGCAGAGGATAAGGCAGAGGCTGTCGCCCGTGCCTCGACAAACTCAGCCCGGTCGTCTCGACACGGCCCCGCCGCCGGCTGCCGGCGGATGCGAAGCGCGGGGGCGGTGCGAGCCCTCCCAGCGCCCGCCCGCCCCCTGCCCTTTGCCCCCGCCGGTGTCCCAGCGCTTCCTGTTCCCAACCACGTGGGCAGCGGGATGGCGGGCGGCGCGGCGGGCGAGGCGCAGTGCCTCAGCTACACGGGATGCAACTTCCTGCGGCAGCGCCTGGTGCTGGCCACGCTCAGCGGGCGCCCGCTGAAGATCCGCAAGATCCGTGCCAAGGAGGAGGATCCCGGCCTCCGCGGTGAGCGGCGGCACCGGCGGCCGCGGGGCAGGAGGTCGAGGGGCGGCGGAGCTCCGGCTCCAGCTGTGCCCGGGACCTGCTGCCGAGCAGGGGCAGACCCCCACTGGGAGCTGGGGCAGCCGGGCTCCATCTGGGCGGGCCCCACCGAGGAGAGGTCCCGGTGTCTTGCCGTGGATGCGCTCTGCTCTGAGCGCCCCGCACACCGGTCTCGGGTGTAGCTGTCACACGTGGATCGCGGGGCTTGGGGAGGAGGAGGAGAAGGGGCGGTGAAGGGGGCCGGAGCAGGGGGGATGTCACACACCCGCCGGCACCTGCCGTCAGCCTCCCTCGCTGCCCGGCGGGGCGGGATGGGGAACGGGGCCGTACCAGCCGCGTCCCGCCGGTTCGGCTCGGCTCGGCAGCCCTGCCTTCCGCGGGGTCACTCTTTTTCTTCAGAGCGGGCCGTCCGGGGCCGGTTCGAGCGGCCGGGGCTGGCTCTGCCCTGCCGAGCCGCCCCGGTGGGACGGGCCTGGCGCTGCCCGGCCGAGCCGCCCCGGTGGGACGGGGCTGGCGCTGCCCGGCCGCCCCTCCCGCCCCGCGGGGCAGCGCGTTCGCTCCGCGCCTGGCGGAGGCGGTGTGGGAGCGGCCGGGCCGGGCTCCGACCGGCTCGCTGGTGCGCGGGAGCCTCTCCACAGCCCCGGAGCTGGTTCTCGTTCCCGTGACGGTGGGGATCTTCGCAGTCGGGGTGCCGGAGTTAATTCCGTCTCTTGGGCCGTCGTTGCCGCGTGCCCGTGCCCAAGCGCCGTGTGCTGCCTGTGCTGGTGGGAGCTCACGTTCGTGCAGTTTTAATCGGCACGTTTTATGCTTTGATTTTTGTCAGGGTTTGCCGAAACGGGAAAGGTGAAAGACTTGAAATCATTTATTCTGCATATTTGTTTAAGGGAAATCTATTTTAGGGCATACTATCGTTATTGTCGTACAAAGCCTTTGGCATCCCAGGATGAATTCCATCAGAACTGAAATAAGAAAACAATAGGACAGTGTTTGAGGAAGAAACATTATTGTGGTGTTCAGTTATTTTTTAGGCAAGGGCCCCCTGTTATAAAGTTCAGAACAGGAGTAGATGTTTCTCTGCCTCCTGAAGAGCCTTGGGCGTGTAGCTAAAAATTCTACTCAAAAAATGCCAAAGCATTCTTGTGTGCTTGACTTAACATTTACCATGATCCAAAATATTTATTATCACTGTGGAGCATTTGGTGGTGGTAAAGTTTGTAGCTATTGCCATGTTTTTTTAAAGAGTGTTTGAATTTACTTTTTTTAAGTATGGGTTCAAGTGTGAACTATGGCTGTAACAGAAAAATAATCACAATAAATCCTGATTTATATTGATAATTCAACATGCAGCTATTTTTTTCCTTTTCATGACTGGAACTTTTGTAAACTCTGCTACTGGTGTTCTTCAGGAGTGAAATGTGTGCTCACAAGGATGCACTCTTGCACTGGAAGATGCCCCAGTGCTTATAAAGTGATATAAACTTTGTAAGCATATAAGCTGTCTTAGTTTAGAAAGAGAGCAGAACCAGTATTGTGTGACTGAGGCATAAATCATGTTATGCAGATATTGACAAACTGTAACTCCTGCAGGTAGCTTAAATGTCTGTTACATCCTAGAGCCACATGTAGAAAGAAAAAACCTGATTACTGTGTAAGAAGTAACATAGGATTATTGCTTAATAAGGGACTTCAGCAGCCTACAAACAATTGTGCAGATGCTGTTGGCTCTTAAAACTAGCTGGGTTTTGAATTCTGCATATATTCACCTATCTTCTTGATACTGAGCCTGTACCATATTGGGATACTAGAATACTAGCATATTCTTCCTGGGATGGCTTTTTTCAGGTGTTTTTGTTTTGGTTTTGCTTGTTTGGTTTGGTTTTTGGAGTTTTTGTTTGATTTGCTTTGTGTTATTTCCTTTTTGGTTATGGTTGGTTGGTGCTTTTGGTTTTATTTTGGGTTAAATCTGCTTGTCCTTTTCATCTCTGCGTGAGAGTCCACACAATTGAGAGAAACTGAGGAATCATTTCCACTTGAACTGTAGTGAAGACAGTAAGCAAGAAAAGAGGCAGTGGGATGACTTGTGGTTCTCTAGCCCTAAGCATGTCCAAAACTGATTTGGAAATTAAAAATTTTAGAGTCTGCAAGCAACTAATTCTGTTTGTGGAACAGATAAGCAGCAGCACTTCACATCTAAATATCCCCTACTTTTAAGCTAACACTTTCACAGAGAATAATGTGAAGCTGTTATTAGTTTGTCAGGCTTCAGTATATGGGGTCCTGTTTGCTATGATTTGTCTGTTCTGCTTTGTACTGAGCAAAATGTAAATTGCCAAAAGTTTTGTCCTGGACAAGAGCAATCCCCTGTTTTTACAGAGAATTGCCTTTTCACATGTGGTGGCATTATACCACAACTTGAAGAGTGAGAGTAGCCTTACTGTCATGGAAAGCAGGAAAGGGTAAAAGTACAAGTAAGATGTTGAACTTCTAAGAAACTTTACAATTCTGTCTGTGCTCTACTCCTTAGATTTTGAAGCAAGTTTTATTCGCCTGATTGACAAAGTGACCAATGGCTCACGGATTGAAATAAACCAAACAGGTGAGATCTGGTTTTTTTCTGCTTGGTCTCCAGGATTTATCAATTTTTGCAGTAGAATGGAAGTCTTGTCTTGATAGAGGTAGGTGTTCAGATAAGATTGACTGAGAAGATCAGAAGTAACAAAGTTGACAAGTTTTGCAGTAATTGATCACATGCAAGAAGGCCAGTGCTCCACCATAACGCAGGGAGCTAAGGGAGCTCTATTGCCCAAGAACTAAAATTAGTATTTTGTTAGGTATGCAGGATTTCACAGTGCGCAAAGGTTCCTCTGCACCAGAATCAACTTTTGTAGAAGAAAAAGAAGATTTACCCTCTACAGAGGCAAACTGCTTAGCCAGACTGCTTGCTTATTCGTGCTTAGAAATTAGTTTGATGAGGGTGAAAAGCATTCCATGCGATAACCTCACCCGGTCTGAGTTTTTTCCTTTTTTTTTTTTTAAGGGTTCTAATGATCTTTTGTTGGTAAGTAAGGCAAATGAATTAGCATCCAATATGCCAAGACTCCAGTGACTTGTAATAGACTGATGAAGGTTTAGCTTCTGTGGAAAATAATAATTGCTTGTATTAGCATTTTGGAGATTGCTAAGAGATCCTTGGTTTTGGTTGGAGGGGAAAAGATGTAAATGGTGTCCAGGACAGAGACACACTCATGTGTTGACCCATTTATTAGCTGCAGACATGTAAATAGTGTGCTGGAAGTGCTTTAGCCTTCCATATAGTCTTCTGCCTCCAGTTTGCCTCATATGTTGTTGCAAAGTATTTTTTTGCTGTTTTAATGGCCAGTGTTTTACAGTGCTCTCATTTTGGTTTGCTCCCCTGGCCTCTTCCACAGGTACTACCTTGTATTATCAGCCTGGTCTTCTGTACGGAGGCTCATTGGAACATGACTGCAGCCCCAGCCGTGGTATTGGCTACTACTTGGAAAGTCTGCTCTGCTTGGCACCTTTCATGAAGCATCCCTTGAAGATTGTCTTGAGGGGAGTAACAAATGATCAGGTAGATCCTTCGGTAAGTAATAAAGTTTAAGTATCAGAGAAGGATATTTTTCCCCCTAAAATAACAAGATTGGGAAGAAGTGTCTAAAACATGTTGAATTTTTAGCATTCCTCACATCCAGAAGTATCCAGTATCTATTGTCGCTGCATTAACAAACTCTGAGTCAAAGAACCACCTGCTAAACTAGAGTGTATCATACTCTAAACTTCAGTTTTTAATCCCCCTGGCTGAACTGATGTTCAGTTCTGTACAGCTTCTGTCTTCCCCCCTGCAAACTCCTTTTAAATGCATTGTGAGGCCCTGACACAGGTTTGTTTCTCCTCTTCTCTTAGAATTTCAATGGATTATTTCTCTTGCCCCATACTTGTATTTACTTTATAAAGAAGAAAGTGTCTTCAAAACATGAGTGCGAAAAGGAAGAAATCTGTCTCTTCTGGACAGAAGTCATACAACTGGTTTCTGGACACAGTCATACCACTGCTGCTGTCAAGCCTTCTTTCTATTAGAAACAGGAGTCACATGATGATTAGGCAATTACAGTAGCAAAAGAATGTAATAACTTTCTGGTTCTTCAGAAACATGCCAGAAGGTGTGGTAGGTCAAATGGCTATGAAATGCTTGCCTTGCTTTCTATTACTGATATGCAGTCCTTTGTTTTGTACCAGTGTTGTTACAGAAATGAGCTGTGGGAGACGTGATCAGAATGCTGAAGTAATGATTAATGGGCATGCTCTTCATTTATTTTTCTCCAAAAACTCCAAACATAGACTTCTGCTTTTAGAGAACAGCATTACTCTTTACTTTTTGAATGGTGATTAGACATTGCCTGTTTTCCTCTGAGTAAATTAAGGACACATTGTAATATGACAATTTAACCAGTTTAAATGAACACAAATACTTGTGAAGTATAACTACAGATACTACATGAGCCCCTGAGTCCTGCTCGAATTTATGACTTTTCAGCTGTGTTTTTCTGGTCATTTAAAAAACTCACTCTCTCACCTGTGGCTCTGTGAGACATCCCCATGAGTCAAGGGATGATCAAAGTGTGTTGTACACAGCACTATAAGAAAAAAAGAGGGAGTATTTTTTGCTACCCTTTCAGTCATTGTGATTAAAAGCACTTCTTGTACTTCTTGTAAGTAGTAAGAATCAAAGAAGTCCTTTTTTTGTTGAGTACTTAATCACAGTGGAGAAATTCCTGCATAATCTGGAGATGAAGAGTAGTGCAATGTTCATATTGCTTTCAGGTAAATTCGGACACTCATCTAAGCAATGGAGTCTTGATTCTGGGAATTATCTCCTTTTGGGCATCAGTCACATGGGCCTGAGATTAAACTATTTTAGTTCAAATGGGTGCAAGAATTAAGGCCATTTTGTGCTTGAAGGGTGCTTGCACTTGCCAAAACTTAGACAAGTGGTTTGGCACACATCAGCTGACTCCCAAGCTCTGTACGCTGAATGTAAATCAAATGCATGCAAAGAGTTACATCTTAAGTTCATTGTTCTGTAGTAGAGACTATGTTTTAGTTCTTAGCGACAACACAGTAACAGCTTCAGTTACTGTGACTCAGCTCCTACTTGCTAACTGTTAAGTGATTGTAACTGAATGCCAGTTCCTAAAATTGGTTTAACACTGGCTTTTATCTGTTTAACTTGGCTGAGTAAACATTAATCCTGGTGCATACCAATAAGGTACTTAAAGCCCTTCTACAAGTTGTTTGGTATAACATATATCTCTGCTGGTTTCTGAGACTAAAAGCACAATTTTAAGTGTTACCCTAATTTATTTGTATGCTTAAGTAAATGGAAACTTGGTTTTAAATTGATTTTGGTTTTTATTTTTCAGTAGACAGAGCGTGTATATAAACTCAGTGAAAAATTATTACCTGTGCTTGCCCAAAAAGAAGTGCTTGAGTTTGTTTGTCTATCTGTATGCTTTTTTGCTTTCCAAAGGTGGAAAGGCAAACCAGTGTGACTACAGTGTGGAAGTTTAGGTGTTTTACCTGCTGCTCTTCATGTAGCAACCTCTCTACTTCAGCTTAGTGGGTTGTATTGGATTTGCATGGCTGGATTTTGTGACCTGAGATGCTACAGAAGTGGCTTCTGTAAGAAGTTGACAAAAGTTTCCCCTTAATCTAACAGAGGCCATGTCATCTGGCCAAGTCTGAGCCCATCACTGATGGTGGTAGCACTGCTGGGGTAGCAGCTTTAAGGAGGAAGTGCTGGGGGGTGGAACGGTGGAATAACCTGGAGCTGGAGAGAGGAGTGAGAATATGTGAGAGAAGCAGCCCTGCAGAGAGCAGGGACAGTGAAAAATGGGAGGTGTTCCATGCACTGGAGCAGAGACTTCCCTATAGCCCATAATGAATACCATGGTGAGGCAACTGTCCTCCTGCAACCCTCAAACGTCAACAGCAGAGTGTGTGTCCACCTGCAGCCAGTGCAGGACCCCACACTGGAGCAGGTGGATGCCTGAATGTGGGTGTGAACCCATGGGAAACCTGCCCTGGAGCAGGATCCTGGCAGGACTTGCAGGCCTGTGGAGAGAGGAGCCTATGCTGGAGCAGGTTTGCTGGCAGGACTCGTGAACTCATGGGGAATCCGCACTGGAGCAGTTTGTGGAGAGCTGTAGCCAGTGGGAGGCAAGTAGCAGGAATATGTGTGCAGCCAGGGGAGTGTGACCTTTCTCTCATGGTGGCAGTAAACAGGTAGGCTGACCCACTGGGCTTTGTGAAATCTGCTCTTCAGCACCGAGATCTTGGCTTTTGCACAACCTTTTACACAGAAGTATTTTGGATGTGATTGCTATGTGGTTTGAGGTTGCTTTTCACCAGGGATCACCTTGTCAGGTGTGTGCAAGGGAATCTCTTGTGGATCTCCTGCTGTGAGGAGAGTAGAAGAGAGTCAGGTGAGAGGAGGAATTTCTAAAGGACATCTTGTAGAAGGAAAGACTTTAGCTGAGTTCAGGGAGGCACAGGTCAGGCTGCGTTCCTGGAGTATAAGAGCATGTGTTTACTGTGATGTTTGTTTACATACATTAATAGCCCTCCAATAGGCTGCAATGAAAGCTCTTTGACAGCTGGCATCACTTCTAAAGTGTATCGTGGCCAGTGAACATGCACTTGTTCCAAGTGGGACTGTGCTGACATTATTAATAATATTGTCCATATTATTTGGTACATTGTTAGACACTGGAACAAGTCAGCCTGAGAAGTTCTGGATACCACAACCCTGGCAATGTTCAAAGCCAGGTTGGACGGGGACTTGTTCTAGTGGGAGGTGTCCCTGCCTATGGCAGGGGTAGGTGGAACTAGATGGTCTTTAAGGTCTCTTCCAACCCCAAAACATTCTATGATTCTATGATAATACTCCGCAGTATTGTTACTGTGTGAGTGATACATCCTAAATGGATGAAAGGAATGCTGCTTTGCTCTCGCTTGTCAGGAAGAGCTAAGCCTTTGGAATACCAGCCTGGAATGTTCATTGACAGCCTACACTTGCAATGTGTTTTCCTGTGCTGTTGCTGGTGAGATCTGACCCTGGGTAGCTTGTGGGACCAACCATGTGAGACTGGGTTGAGGCAGTTTAAAGTTTCTCTGTGTAGTGATTATGTATGCAAAGTGTGCCCTTTGTAAAGTGCCTTTTTGAAGGGGATGGAGGTGGCACACAAATGATGGGCTCCTATTTTCCCTTTCTTCTCTATGTGTTGTTATTCTGACATTTAGATATACTTGCAGTAATTTGTTTTAGAGTAATCATTCTTGATCTTTGTGTTTCCAGATGTTGAAGGTTTTTTACAGCTATGGCATGGGGCTTTGAGTTCAAATGACTGACATGAGGCTAGTATATTAAAATTTAGCTTAGGAGCAGTAATCTTCAATCTTAATCAGAATTCAATAGTTGTCTGTAGAAAACAAGACATTTTTCCTACTGAGTTTTCTTCCCAGGGTTCTTTCTTCCCTGTTAAACTCTGTTTTTTCCCTTCCCCTTCTAGGCCCTTTTTTGCAAAACATAACCCTGTATGTTAGGTAGGGCTCAGTGATATGTGCAATGCCAATGGATATAGAGGCCAAGTGGTGCTTTTCCATTTCTCAGGTATCCATGTGCTGCAGGATCTCTATCTGGGTGAGGGTTTTTTGTGTGTGGGGGGTTTTTTTGTCTTTGTTGGGGTTTTTTTTTTTGTGGCATTTTTGGGGTTTGTTTGGGTTTTTTGGTTGGTTGGTTTGGTTTTGGTTTTTTTTTTTGACTGGGTTTTTTAAATATATCTTTGTACTGGATAAGGGATTCTTAAAATTACTTTTCTACCTTTTTCTTAGCTACTGTAGATTTCTTTAAAGGGAAGTGATAAGTGATTTGCATTTACACAACTTTGCGAATAAGCAATATTTATGTGACTTAGAATGTTGTCATTTGTGGTGAGGTATACCATTAGTTGGTATGATGCATCTGTTTCGGTGCAACTTGGTGTTGTGCTGTCTGTTCTGGAAATAGAATAACTGCCCTCCAAGGGGAGCTAAGGGATGGGGTTTATGGCTGAGAGTAGGCAAAAGGATAGAAAAATGGGTTTACCGCTCAGTTCAGCTGCTGTTTTTTGATTTTCATTGAACTGCTGCTCATCCTGCCCAACTCCCTGCTTGTTTGTGAGGCAGAACAGCCTTTTCCCATTCTTCAAATACTGCTGATTGCCTCCTCTGTTTAGGCAGCAAAACTGGAACAGTCAGTCTTACTATTTGTCTGTCTGGTACCTCTTAAGTATTATGCCTGGAATTTTTCTGAAGACTGAAAACTACAACAAGTCTTGACGTTTTTTGAGTTCTTAACCTACACAGTAAAGTTTTTATTTTTTACTGGTATGTTTTGTTTTATGAGAAGGAGGAAGAAATGTTGTGTAATTTTAATTTGAACCAGATCAGCTTGCTGAGGCTTCTGCCAGTGGTATTCATATGCTTATGCACATGCATGTTAGTATCTGCCAATGGTATTCACGTGCTTGTGCACATGCATGTTAATAAAGGCTTTACTCCAAAAGTCAAATTTGTACAGTTAATGAATACTACTGAAGGGCCAAAGCAAGGTAGCCTGGCTTTAAAAAACTGTAAACTTTGTGAGTTAAAAGGAGTTAAGCATTGGCTTGTAGTTTTGTTTGTTTTAACACAGACATTCAAATATTGATACTAAAACCAGCAGCAAATGCCTTTCTGTAAGAAAGGAGACATGTTGTCCAGCAGGATTTGAAAATGAGAACTACAACACACACTCATAGCTCCTCAGGTACCACTAACAGAATGTTCACAGATTTGTAGGTGAGGTACTGCAATTTTGTCAGTGGCTTGCACTCTTTTTCAAAGCAGAGAAAATGAAATTCAGGAATTACGAATTTTGTCTGAAGGCATGGGAAAGAGAGTGTTTTTTATCTGCCTTCTCAAATACTGTCTACCTCATGACTGTTTCCTTCATCTGTGTTTATCTTCTCTTTGGTCATGCCGTCCTGATCCTGTCTCTCCACAGCTATTTGTCTTGGGTAACTCCCTGTGCTGTTGCACTGCTAAATAATTTATATCATGTTTGGCAACACTACTGAAGTTTCAGAAAGGGAAGATGAGGGCAGTCCCTGTAGTCTTAGGAATTAGAAAGAGCAATGACAAGGATTATTCTGTTCAGACCTGGACCTGGTGAGCACCTGGCTTAAAAGGGAGTACACTGATGATGTGTTACCCACTTCAGATTCTTTTAAGTGCTTCAGCAGGAGCTACCTATAAGCTTCTGTTTCTTAGAAACAGGTAAAAAGAAGTTGTTGATAGAATGATCTTTCTGCCAAATACTGCAGCTATATCTTGCAGTGATGATTGAAAAAAGTGCAGTGGTTCTTGCATTGATTTGTTTAGCTATAGGAGTTTTTTAGTAATGACGGAAGAATATTATTTTCTCAATAACATAGAAATGTTCAGAGAAATGTTTCACTGTTCAGAGAAATAAGTAAGCTGTTTTACATAATGACATTCAAAATCAGGCTGAGGAGGAAAGCCAGAATAGGAAATTCTATCTACCAGTAATTTGTTCTAGGACTTTTTTTTTAGTAATGATGTAGCTCTCTGTGCTGCATTCCCATGTTTTCCCATAAAATACCTTCTATGAAGAAGATCTGTCTCTGTTAGTGACTAACCTTACTTCAAATAGAGAGTCTTTTCTTAAAATTTTGTGTTCCACATAGGTTGATGTCCTTAAGGCAACAGCTCTACCCCTTCTGAGGAAGTTTGGAATTGATGGTGAAAGTCTGGAAATCAAGGTAAGACAGTTTGTTCCTTTATTTTCAAGCATGTGTTGAAATTATGCTCTTGCAGTACTTCATGGGTCCATGTGCTTGCTTTGGGTTTCTGTCTCTAACAGATAATTTGTTCTGGCTACGAGCCACAAAGTGATAGAGAGGATAAGGAGAAAGTAGTGATTTTCCTTAGTCTCCAAAGAAGACTGAGAAACTGTCATGGATTGACTCTGGCACAGTGCCAGTGCCCCCCATGAAAGGTGTATTCTCCAAAATGGTCCCTTTTGCTTTTTGTTGCTTATTAGTTCATTTATTATCTTTTTATTTCTACTTGTTCATTCTGCCTCATGCTTGGGACTAAGAATTAAAAATGTATCTTTAACCTTTTTCACCTGTAGGAGAGCTGAATCTGTGTTTGGGTAGATGAACTCTCTGTGTGTGGAAACACAAGGTTTGATTCTATTTCAGAAGGTTGATTTATTATGTTATATATTATATTAAAATATTACATTAAAACTATACTAAAAGAACAGAGAGAACAGAAAGATCAGAAGGCTACAAAGAACAAGAATAGAATAGAATGTATAACAAAATTCTATGACTGCTCACAGCCTCGGTACAGGTGGCTGTGATTGGTCATCAATTAAAAACAATCCACATGAACCAATGGAAGATGCACCTGTTGCATTCCACAGCAGCAGATAGATATTGTTTACATTTCTTTCCTGAGGCTCCCAGCTCCTCAGGAGGGAAAAAAATCCTAGGAAAGGATTTTTAATAAAATATCATAACTACATTAGTTGGTTTGTTTCTAGTTCGGAAAACAGAGGAAAGCCATTTTTCATGAAGACTACAGTCTTCAGAGGCCCAGTAAATCTGGATACAAAACAACATTTGGGTTTCTTTTAGGCAGGAGAAATGAGTGAAGGGTCTGGCTGCACAACTGGGGCCTGCTGGTGCCTTGCTCTGCGAAGGCTCACCCCTCACCCCCACCCTGCCCACAGTCCAAGTGCCCTTGTCATTGTCCTGGCATTGCCAGCCTCTGCTCCTGTCACTCTGCAGCAGGGCTGGCCTTCAGCTCACCACGGCCCTGCCCTGCCTGGCTCTGGGCCTCTCTACCCAGACCCACTCACTGGGCCATGTCCCAGCTCCATCCTTGCCTTGGAATGGTGTGACTGGCTCAGGCTAGACAGACCTGTTAGTGGGAATGAGTTCATTTTAGTCTCTCACATACAGAAGTCATCAAGTCCAAATCTTAAGTGAATGTTCCCATATGGGAATCAAAGCCACGACCTTGGCATTACCAGCACCATGCTGTAATCAGCTCAGCTCAAATCAAATAGTTCTAGTCTCCTTAGCAGCGAGGTGCCATCTGCTACTAGAGACAAGTCTTAAGCCAAGGTTGTTTTGGTAAAGATGTTTTTGTTTGGTTTTGCACTGTTTTCTATTGAGAAGCCATGCTTTACTTTACTTGAGAGGAACGAAGAAATCAATGCCTGCTTTTAGTTTTGATGCAAAATCTATTTCTGCTTTTAGGATGTGGTTTTCTTGCCTGTGTTCACATAATGCCCCTACTTAAAACATTGTATTCTATGAGAAATAAAAGTGTAATTTTGGGGGGTGTAGGTACATTCTTTGCACTATTTACTAACCTGCTTTTTTTCCTCCATTATTTGTTCTAGATCAACCGAAGAGGAATGCCTCCCAAAGGGGGTGGAGAGATACTGTTTTCTTGCCCAGTGAGAAAGGTCTTGCAGCCTGTTCAGTTCACAGACCCTGGAAAAATCAAGCGCATCAGAGGAACTGCGTATCCTTTTTGTTTGTCTGTTTTTCTACTTTTAAATCGGTTTGTTTATTTAAAAAAAATCCCCTAACTTGGAAACCATAGAAGTGCACCCACGTTTCTGAGCACAGAACACAGGCCAACATTACACAGAGGGGTCATACAACTAGATTTCAGAACTGTGTCCCAAAACTCCTGTTTTCAAAACATTCAAAAAGTATCTGTAAGCTATTGAATAAATTCAAAGCTGAACAGCACTATTTGAAATTCAATAGCAAGAAAAAGTTAAAATTGCTTCCATCACATATTGTAGGAGGCTTAGAGAATCTTACTTTGTGTGTAAATTCAGTAGTAACCAATGTAGTTTAGTTGTGCATTGAATAGTTGACATCTTGGTGGTTACTAGTTTAGCAGAAGTTAGATGGGGTGATAGTTTAGCATGATAAATCTTAGTTCAGTTTACATCTTGCAGCACACTAAGCTTTTTGGTGTGGCTTGAAAGAGGATTCTTTGGCTCTTCACCTTTGGTAGAACCAGTGCAGGTGGAAGTGGAGGAGGTTTTATTCCATATGGAGATAAGGGCACAAAATACTCTTGTGAACTCCATACTTTTTCAAACAGCTGCAAATCTAGCCAATGTTTTGGATTGTTTATTTCTTTTTGACATTATTTTTCTCTTGTGGCTTTTGTATGGTATCTGTCCTGAATCTGCTGTCATTGTAGAAAGAAGGTAGAAATCCCTTATATGAAACTGTCTTAAGCGGTGGCCAACATGTAGTTTAATTTGTGTTTGAGAGCCCAAACATGATTTGGCATTGATTACTCAAAAGCAAAGCAGGAACGAGGTCACGTTTTCTGCCAGAAGTGTAGATTTGCAGCCTGTTTCTTCTTTTGATGGCATACCATCACAACTGTGTGTATAAACTGGATGTTTTCACTGCCTTGTCCAATTGCGGCATTTAGATAAGTGCAGCAGTGCCAAGCAAGAGCAGTTTTACTGGGTACATGTGCTGTAGAACAGAAAGGAGGCAGCTCATTGTGCTTTTGGTGATAGTTGCTGTGGTATATTGGTGGAGAAGGTAATTTTCTTATGCCTCCTTTCTGCTCTGTGGTAAGTAGTTGTGTCTGTGTGGAGGAGGAAGCAGTGATCATGACTTTACTGCCGTTGTTCTAAATTGACACTAATATGCAGCACCATTCTGGACCACTTTGACTGATGTATCTGATCTAATTCTGAACTTCTACCTTGCTGTAGGCTTTCCTGGGCCTTTTCTCAGGGGTATAGGTTTGCCTTTAAGCATTGTGAGAGACAGACTCATTTTAGTTTAGCTATTAAGTGGTCCTTCAAGGCAATAGAATACAAAACATCTGAAAGGATAAGCCCATATGTCTTTTTTATGTGTACTTTTATTCCTCCAAGATTCATCTGAGTAAATCTTCCTCACAGCTGTAGAGATCATATTACAGCAGCCTTTTATATAATCCAAAATACTGAGTGCATCAACTGTGCAGAGCAGTTTATTTTTTAATGATTTTGCCTTAAGATCCTAAAGTTTTGGGTTTGCCTACTCCATAAGAGATGCTATAGAAATTTGTAGAAAAGAAAATTTCTCCCTGCCAGCTGGGAGTTTTGAGAGTGTGTTTCTCTGCATTGCTGTGTGAATGTATGTGCAGATGGGTAGAGTGTGAGTCTGCATTATAGGTGGGCTGGAATTTAAAGCATAATGTGCTTTGTACATTTGAAGATCTTTTGGGACTTTCTCTGAAGCAGCACCTGAGTACAAGATCAGAAAGGCTGTTCATCTCTTAGTTACTGTTAAGAGGTGGGTTGGGGTGGGTGGTAAGGTGGTAGGTTCTTCTTTACTGGAACTTTCAGATGCTGAGCGACTAGAGAACTAGTGAATTTGATAGCCTCAGAACACTGCAAAATAGTTGGAGATAGCGAAGATATTTTTCTTAGAGCTTTTTAATTAATTTTTTTTTTGTTGGAACATTTGTCTTTAATTTCTTATTCATCTTCCCAATTTCTCTCTGACAGAAACAGAAAGGCAGGATTTTTTTTGCTGCAAATTCACAGAAACTTCACTCAGGATCGTGTTGTAATAAACCATGAAGAACAGAGCATGTGGGACTTCCTCCATCATAAGAAAGTAGATGACAGAACAGCAGTTTAAATTTGATGAAGGGCATTTTCAAGATAGATGTTTACTTAGTTGTAATCTGTTCTTCAGCACATGTTCTGTGTACTTCACTTCAAGGTACATCAATGAAAAGACTAGAAAACATTTACATGCATATGGTTCTCTAGGTACAGGAACATGGACAAAAGCCCATGAATAGATGTATAAAACACATGTTTTCTGAAATAATGCACTGGGACCTCTTCACTTTGTCAGTCTCTGCTTTCAATTTTTTCTTGTGATCACAATGGATTTCTTAGCTCAGAAATGTAGATACTCTGTCCGAGTGTCACCACAGATGGCAAACAGAATGGTGGAATCTGCAAGGGGCATCCTGAATAAATTCCTCCCAGACATCTATATCTACACAGACCATATGAAGGGGGTCAGCTCTGGAAAGTGAGTATCCAGAATTTACAGGAAACAGACGTGTTATTCTGCATTTGTTTATTTGCTGGGGTGTCCTGATCTAATTTTACTGAGCTTTAGATCACAATCTTCTATTTTGTTGATTTGAAATAAATATTTCTCACAAAGAAAGAATGGGTGATTCACTAGATACATTTGTTTTACTTACACAGGGATAGAAGTGTGTTTTCTTAAACAAGGAATGCAATACATCACTACTGCCACTAAAGGCAATTTGAGTCCCCTTCGTCTTTAAATCTGTTGCTTTGAAGAGAGATTAAGATCAAGGTGTCATGATATGTTCAGGAAACCAAGATTCAAAGTTGACTGTACACCTTCTGTTGGAAATAGTAATGTTAAGGATGGGACCGAGGTGTTTTAAGGAAGTGTTAAAGCAGTATGAGTTGTCTTCTGCTGAATGGCTGAAGGAGTGTCCTCTCACTAGCGAGGACTGGAAAATTAATTTATTGTACTTCCACAGATTTTGATTAGTGACAGAACACAGAAGTGGTGGATGCTATTGCGAAAATTTTGCTGGTATCTGTCATCTCTGTTGTCTTCTTCCTTGAGGTTGAAAGATCTGGATAACTCATTTGATAGTTTTCTGTCTGTATGCTCAAATGCAAGCATGCGTATTTTCTTTGACTATTTCTGCTTTTTGAAATATTTCGTTAAACTTTGGTAGATTAAAAAGTTTATGAACATAGAAGTTGTTGAAGAAATTTTTGGTATCTTTTTGTCTTTTCCAATCCTTCATCATATTTAATATGCCAGGATTGTAACTTTAATGGCTCCAAACTGTTTACAGGATCAGAATTGCAAAAATGTTTCTGGGAGCTGTGTAGTTTTTGGGTCTCGATTCTGTTTTTCATCTGTTTATGAAATTTAAAAAGTCAAATTATTTGGGGCAGCAACATTATTTTTACTACAAGCAGCTCATGCAGAGAGATAAACAGTAGCATGGGAAGAGGAACTGAATCACTTTCAACCTGGCTGGCTGGGTTTCTGATGCTACTGTGACAATCATCTTAAATATGAATCCAGTGTGATAGCAGTATCCTTGATACTAAGTAATTAGTCTAATTTTGCTAAATATTGTGGCTTCCAGGAGAAAGAGCTGAAGCCTTAAAGAAGGGTAGTTCTGGTTTTGAATGTCGCAGAGAATAAACACCAGATACCTTTGAAATATTTATCAAACACAAATTAAATAAATGTAAAAGGTACCCTCCTCTATTAAAAAAAAAACCCAAGCATTTCTGAGGTTTGTATGGCTCTTTATTTTCTTCTTCATTTTTCTGTTTAAAGAGTTTGGCCCAGGAAAAGCCAACATAGAGGGTTTTGTGGCTACTGGTACTGGGTTTGACTTTTAATTTGTTAATTTTCTTTTTCCAGCATCAATCTATTGTATCAAACAGGACATTTGTCATCCTATGGGAGGAGGTGTTTATGACTTGAAGTTCTTGACTCACTACTCCAGTTTTGTCCTTCAATCAAATGCACGTTTTCACTTTCTTTCAGATCACCAGGTTTTGGCATGTGCCTTACTGCAGAAACCATCAACGGCACTATTCTCAGTGCTGAGCTAGCCTCAAACCCTCAGGGCCAGGGAGCAGCTATACTTCCTGAGGAACTGGGCCAGAATTGTGCTAAGCTGCTGCTTGAGGAGGTCTACAGAGTAAGTGGCCAATATGTTTTGTATATGTGTGTATAGATGTAAGGGAAGTGGCACCCTCAGACAGGTGCGAATTCAAGCAGAGAAATTGTCTGATGCTGCCAGTGTTGTTTTCATCCAGGTCAAGAGTGGTTTTGCGTGACTCCTTTAACAGTGTAATGAGTTACTGGGGCATGCTGTTTCCAATGTCTGATATGTATTATGAATCATGGGAGTGGCTGTTCACTGTTGCTTTCTGTCTTCAACAGAATTCAATTAGCTTCATTCACATGGGCTGTTACTCTTCTAAATAGTATGAATGGGTAACATAGTCCATGCTTCTAAACTAGTGGTTGGAATTGGACATTATGAGTGAAAGAGCATAGGAGAGGCAGAAGGGGCAAAAAACCTTGCAAGGCTCCACGTTGACCACTTTGTGATGTTGATGACGAAGTCAACTGTGCTGAGAATTATTGGTTGTATGAAGAATTGTCTTAATGGGTTGTTGGAAGGGAGCTGAATTGATGTTTACTTAGGAATCCTAAGTGCATCACAGTTTTCTTCAGCATAGATATTTTTCTTTATTAAAATGATTTTCATTTGTGGCAAGAATTTCAGTGGATAAGCAGCTTTCAGTGCTACAAATTATTTGGCAAATAGCACCCTGATGAGTTTCCAATTTAATAAAGAACCTTCCAGCTGCCTTGATTTGTATCTCCACAAATGTTTAAATAACTACGTTTTAGCATTGATAAAACATGTTTGGCCTTTAGGAGGCAGTCATGTACAAATTTTGCTCATTATTTAAAAAAACAAGTAGTTGCTCTGAACTGTAACAAGCTATGTGACTTCACAAATTGTTAAAACTGCCATTATTGAGATTCTATGTTAGGGAATGCAGTTAAATGTAAAAAAGCCCCTCAACTTCATAAATCACATCCATACCTGTGTTAGATTGTTCATCTGTGCCCATTTTATTTTTCTCTTTCCCTGTTGCAAATCTTTTATCTGTTTGAATTACTAGTTGGCCACTTTTTTCAGTCGTCCATTAATATTTTGGCTATGTTTATTCAGCAGATAAACTATGTTGCTAAAGGACTTTTCTAGCCCAGGCTTCTTGTGTTACAGAAATACCACCGCCAAAATGTATTTCATGGGTTGCTGGGTACAATCTGTATTTGAAAGTCTGGCCTGTGTCAAGAATGTAGTCACAGCTAGTGATGGAAACATCTGTCTGTTTCTGCAATTACATACTGTCATGTAGTTATTTTGTTTCAGGTGTGAACTGCAAAAATCTTTCAGTAATTTGTTTGTGTACATGTTGGAAAGCATCTTCTGGTAGTTATATGTCTAGAGACATCAAAAATCAAGTTTCCACGTACTTTTGTCAGCAACAATAGGGTTTTTTCCCCCTTTGGAAACCATTTAGCACTTGATACATTAAAACTAGTGAGGCAATTTGTCCAGATGTTATGTTTTGCACAGAGTCAGATGTCAGAGAACTTACAAAGGAAGAGGGCTGGAAAGGCCTAAAGCAAGTAACTTTCTGCTTTAGTGTGTGGCAGCCATTTAAATATGACGAGTCAAATTCTGCAAAGGATAGTGAGGATCTTAAGACAACAGGAAAAAAAGTTTGAGGAGGAATCAGGGTCAGACAAGTCTTTGAATCGTAAAGTAATAGGCTGTCAGGTTTCAGTGTCTTTGAAGATCAGAATCTGAGTGAGGTTGTTAGCCGTGGCTTGCTATGGCACTGCTGGTGCTGCTGGAAGACTCCTTTATGTGTGGGTGACTTCTGTCCAAGAGTGACTGAAAAATGCTGAGCAGTGTACAGTCTACTTGTCCTTCACTATAGCAGCTCACTGTGGAAAAGTTAGAATTTGGTAGCATTTTGGCTCTTTGTGCTACTTTTTCACTGCAGTGCTTAGTCATTATTTAGTGAATTCTCCTCTCCCTCCATCATGGGCAATATGATGGGTTTTGTTATGTAGTTTTTGAAATACAGACTTGAATTTATGTGTGACACATATGGTCCTGAATTTTGAAAGGTAAGGTTTCTTTTTAATTTTCTTTCTTTTGTATTTTTGGGGCTTAGTGTGTTTTTTGTTTTGGGATGGGCTTTTTTAGGGTGTTTGGTTTTTGGACATTTATTTTTTGTTTGGGGTGCTTTTTCATTTGTTTGGTCTTTTTTGGGTTTTTTGTTGATCAATTTGATTTAGTGTTGGATGCAGAGGGGATATAAAAACATGTTGCAAAGTGCACAGTGTTTGTTTAGGTTTAGTGTACTAGTTTTTTATGTTTCTTTGCCTAGGTAAAATGTTTAGTGAAACTAAAAATCTGAAAAAGCAAGAATAGATTGCTCTGAACAGGCAATCTTTAAGTCTCACATATTTTTACACCATCTACTTTTTGAATACAGGGCTCAATTTCTTTTCCTGTTTTTAGATCTTCTCTTTATGGGATTATTCCACTATCTGTGTTTTTACCAGTAGGTACTATGCTGTGGGAGCCAGGGCAGGCTGACCAGACAAGGGCACGCTGAGAGCACTGGAGACAATTCTCTGTAAAAGGGCTTTAGGTGTTGGGATCACCCACAAATCTGCTGGAGTTGCAGTTACTGTTGAAAGGGGTCCAGGGACATTTTGTAAAGTGCTTGCCATTGTATATAGTTTACCACCTAGGAAATCTAAGGATTTGAGTCTTGCTAGAAGTCCTTTTACTAAGCCTTCAAAAATATATTAGTTAGGTTGCATGGTTCTTGGAATCAGCAGAGTTTTTAAATGCACATTTGTTGATGGAAAGATGTCAGAGCTAATAGACTAATAAGTGGCACAGTGCCTTAATTGCAGTGGCTCTGCAAGAGGGGATAATGGATTGACTGACTAGCATTGTCATTACAAATCCATATGCAGTTCTTTCTGAAGCTTAATTGTAGAAGGCTAGTAAGGATTTTAACTCTTGCCTTTGAAAGACATTGTTTATGGGAGCTTTATGTAGAGAGTAATTGGCAGAATGGAAGGTCTGGAAGAACTGGAAAAGGATTTAATTTTTATATTCTTTGTAATCATGAAAAATAGGGGAGTATCTATTTAAGGCTGAATTCTTTAATGAAGAAAGGCTGAGTTGCTAGGGGACCTTGAAGGGGCAGGAGGGCTAAAGCTGTTTGTTTTATTGAAGTAGAGCAAAAATGAGTGAAGGATTTCATTAATGGCTTTATTCTCAAGATGGTCTTACTTCAGTGTGGTAAGGCTTTGCTCCATTCTTCTGGGAAAAAACCCAAACCCCAAAAACCAAAATACAAACCCTCTGCAATAATTTGATACCCTTTGTATAATAGATTATTGAGTCCTGCAAATATGTACCACACAGGTAAGGGAGGAAATTGTGTGTGTCCCAAAATATAGCTAACACTCAATCAAAGCTGGGCTCAAGCTCAGAAGAAAAAACCTTTTCGAGACACAGTTGTCCAATACGCTGAGTTGTGATATTTGTATGTACATGTCAGCTGTAGTATTTGTACAACATTTAAAAATGGATGGGATTTTAAGGGACCTGTGTATACTTATCACAACTAGCTGGATCTGGCTCTGTAGTCAGTGTAAACAATAATGGCTAAGCTGCCATAGACTGAATTAATACAGTCTAGAAGCTGCATTCTACATTGGTAATGAACACCAGTTATTTTGGAACAAACGTACCTTGGCTCTGACTTTGCCCATTCCATTTCTTTTGGGAGGGTTGTTTCTAATCTTTGACTCTTGAGTAAGTGGCAGGTGGATTGATAGGAAAAAAAAACTGACCTCCTTGGGAACGTTAAGTCCTTTACTTGGCAGAAGTTACTGGTCAGTCATTAGATTACAAGCAATCACTTAATGTCACTGTCTGGGATCTGTCTTTGTAGGAATGGTGTCGCAAATGAGTGGTTTAGATCACTTAAATTGCTGGCAAAAGTATTGTCAAAAGGAAGTTTTTGTATAAATTTGTTGACATGTTGCAAAGTTTGATGGCAAGGTCCACTATTACTTATTACATAGATGAATCACGCCAAGAAACAATGGTTAGTGTGATTCTACAATGATTTATGCAGAGAACGGCAGTACAAAGAGGGGAAGGATGGAAAAAGGATAAAGCTGCAAAAGGGGTAAGGGAGGTCCTCCTTTTGGGTCACAAAAGTGTATCCCTTGCAAAATGTAGCTTCCGACTTGATCAACAATTTGTCTCAAGAACATAGCAGCTTTTAATCATTGACTATTGGAATGCTGACATAATCAAATAGTTCTGTAAACTGCATGTGCACCAGTGCACACAGTATGGGGAACAAACAAGATGAGCTAAAAACCTGCATGCAGTCACAGGGCTTTGATCTTATTGCGGTGGCAGAGACATGGTGGGCTAGTTCATGTGTCTGGAACGTTGGCATGAAGGGCTACACCGTGTTCCGGAGAGACAACCCTGACAGTTGTCTCTGTATTGGTGAGGATGATGAGCTTATGGGTCAGGATAAAAGGGCAGACTAGTAAGGGTGTTTGCTGTTGTGGGTGTTTGCTGCCTGATCAGGAGGAGAAAGTGAACGAAGCCATCTACAGGCAGCATGAAGCAGCCTCAAAATCACAGGCCCTGGTTTTTTGGGGGACTTTAGCTCCCCTGACATCTGCTGCAGAGCCAACACAGTGAAACACAAACAGCCCAGGAGGTTCCTGGAAAGCACGGGTGACAATTTCCTGACACAGGTAGTGGAGGATCCCCCAGGCAATGGTGTGCTGCTCAAGCAATGCTAACAAACAGGGAAGGCCTTGCTGGAGGTGTGGCCATGAGAGTGTGGAATTCAATTCCAGATGAGGAGAAAGCAGGGCAGCAAGTAGCCACAACCACAGACTTCAGGAGAGCTAACTTTAGCTTCTGCAGGGAGATCTTCTTGGAGAATGCCATGACAAGAAGCCCCACAGGATCCAAGAGACCCTGAGGGGTCCAAGAGAGTTGGTTGATTTCAAGGATTGCTTCCTCCAGACTCAAGAACAATGCTTCCAAATGTGCAAGAAATTGGGCAAAGAGGAAGAGATCTGATGGATAAATAAAGAACTTCTCTCATTATCAAGGGTAAGCAGGAATTACACAGGAACTGGAAGCAAGATCAGGTTACTTGGAATTAATACAGAGAGGTTGTCAGAATATTTAGAAAAGAGACAAGGGAAGCCAAGGTCCACCTGGAATTAAGTCTGGCAAAGAATGTCAAGGACAGCAAGAAAGGATTTTTCAAATACATCTATAACAAAAGGAAAAAGGATAATATGGGCCTGATACTAAATGGAAGTGGGGCCCTGTTAACAGAGGACACAGCAGAGGCAGGGTTAGTGAATGCTGCCTTTGCATCGGTCATCACTGACAAGACCAGCCCTCAGGGATCTCTGATCCACAAGACTAGGATGCAGGGAGGGTTGAAGGAAGGCTTTCCCTTGCTCAAGGAGGACTGAGTTGGAGTCAGGCAAACCTGGCATCCACAAGTGCATGGGCCCCAATGGGATGCACCCACAAATGCTGAGAGAGCTGATGGACACCAAGGTGGGCAATTTACAACCATCTTTGAAATGCTGTGGTGATCAGGAGAAGTGCCTGAGGACTGGAAGGAAGCAAATGTCACACTGGGCATAAAAATTGAAAGAAGGACCCAGGAAGCTACCAGACAGTCAGCCTCACATCAATCCATGATGATTCTGGAGGCCATTTCTATCCACATGGAGGACAAGAAAGTGTACAGGAGTAGTCAGCATGGATTCTTTAAAGGTAAATCATACTTGACTGTCCTGCTTCTCTTCTATAATGAAACAGCTAGATGAATGGATGAGGGAAAAGCAGTGGATATTGTCTGCCTTGACTTCAGCAAGGCTTTCAACACTCTCACAAAATTCTCACAAGCAAACTCAGGAAGTGTAGATTAGGTGAGTGGACAGGGAGGTGGATTAAGAACCAGCTGAATGGGAGATCCCAGGGGGTTGTAATCAGTAGTGTAGGGTCTGGCTGGAGGCCTGTCACTGGTGGTGTCCCCAGGGTTCAGTACTGATCCAGCATTGTTTAACTTGTTTATCAAGAACTTGAACAAAGGCACAAACGTCTTCTCAGTGAGTTCACTCACGACACAAAGCTGGGAGCAGTGGCCAATACCCCAGAGGGCCATGCAGCCCTTCAGAGGGCCTCAGCAGTGTAGAGAGATGGGCAGAGAAGAACTCCTGAAACTCAGCAAAGGTGAATGCTGGGTCCTGCATGTGGGGAAAAATAATCCTGGGCACTTGCAGAGGCTGGGAACTGAGCCACTGGGGATAGGTCTCTGTATCCTGGGGGACAACATGGGGTTGGACAGCATGCTGTCCAGGAGCCAGCAGTATGTCCAGGAGCCAGCAGTGTGTGCTGGTGGCCAAGAAGGCCAATGATACCTTGGGGTGCCTTAGGAAGAGCACTGACGGCAGGTTGAAGGAGTTGATCCTGCCCCTCTACTCAGCCCTGGTGAGGCTACATATGGGAATGCTGTGTTCAGTTCTCAGGACAAGAGAGACATGGTGTTCCTGGAGCAAGTCTAGAGGAGGTGACAAAGATGATTAAAGCACTGGAGCATCTCTCTTACGAAGAAAGGCCAAGCGAGCTGCACCTGTTTGGTGTTGAAAAGAGGTGACTGAGTGGAGACCTTATTGATACATCTGAAGGGAGGGTGCCAGGAAGATGGTTCCAAGCTCTTTTTGGTGGTGCCAAGCATTAGGGCAAGAGCCAACAGACAAAAACCGATGTGCAGGAAGTTCCACCTAGATAAGAGGAAGATATTTTTACATATCCTTTACAGTGCAGGTGATTGCACTCTGGAACAGGTTGCCCAGAGAGGTTGTGGAGTCTCACACACTGGAGATACTCGGGAACAGTCTGGATGCAATCCTGTGCCATGTACTCTGGGGCGATCCTGCTTGAGCAGGGAGGTTGGTCCAGCTGACCTGCTGTGATCCCTTCCAATCTTAACCATTCTGTGATTCTGTGACTAACATTTACAAAATGATTCAGTAAGATTTTCTATAAGCTCAGTAGCAACTTAGTTGAAAAATTAAGAGATGGCAACATTCATACTACACTTGCTGTACTATATTTAAATCAATTCATACATGCACACACATAGACATAAAGATGTATATAAAAAGGTTAAAAATTCCCCTCAAGTTTAGTAAAATATGTCAGATGGCTTTGTACCTGACACATAACTTGAAGAGTTAAGCTTTGAGGGTTGAGTGTATCAGTGCAGACCCTGTCAACAACTTTTGGTGGTTGTTCTCCAAGTACTGAAGACTTGAGGGTTGTTGAGCTTCGAGAGGTGTACCACTTCGGGGGAGGTGCTGGTGCAGCATTCTGTAGCCTTGGAGAACTCAAAGACCCTCACTTAGTACTGCTGCCAGTAGGGTTGTGAGATGCTTGGCTTTAGGCTTCTGTCATTCTCCATTCTGGCCACAATCTGGGTCAGTTGTTACTGGAATTTTCGTCAAAAGGTGCAGTAACAATAGTATTGTTCCACCTGGTCTATGATTTAGACAAAAATAATGTTCCAAGACTGTCCATTAGAAAACAGTAGTTTGTTAGGCAGAACTTCCTAGGAGCAGACTGTTTCTGATAAGCTAAAAAGGAGCTTAACTGCCCAGGAGGCATTAATCAAGGTCAATGTCTAATAAGAATTCCTGAGGAGATGGTAGAGTGGCACAAGGGAACACTGCCACAAATGGGCATACCAGATTGCTACTGCACAGCAGTACTGGGGATGACTGACTCACGGCAGCAAGGAAGCTTATGTAAGCAGTTAGGACATGATGGATGCATTGTGGTTTGATTTATTTGTTAGGACATGGTTGTCTCCGTGCTGATTGAAGCTTTTGTATAAATTAGGTTATAAAAGTAGATACCTTACAACGTTTTCAGCTGTAGAGAAACAAAAGAAGCTCAGAAAATGTGAAGTTTTCATCCAAGTAAGAAGGAGCATTTTGAATTACTAATCAGACTACAACTACACAAAGTCCAGTGTCAGGAATACTTCTTACCAAACTCTTATCTGCTTTGGTATGTGTTTCTCCTTGGCAAATACAACTGGTGAGATCTGTGGCTTTAGATGGCACCAGCAAATTCTGCAAGTCCCCTGTTCACTCAAGATAAAGTAAAATTTTTATCAGTCCTATAGGCGGCATTAGGTTGAATATATGAGCTTCATTTTGATTATGGCAAGTTTGCGCAGTTAAGAGGGCAAGTACTGCTGTAAGAGCATGTTTTAGGAGTTGGGTCATGGTAGTGAATGTAACAGAGCTACTTACTTTGCTGTGCTGTAGTTCGTTGCACGTAATGCACAGACCTTTTTTCAGAAGAATGGATCTGCAACTTGTCACAAGGCCGTCTTGAAAATTAAGTCTTCGGTATCCCCCCTTGGAAAGGCTCTCCCTTTCTGCCTCTCACTGAGTAAATGTGCTGCGGTTGTCACGTTGGCTGATTCTCTTAATCTGTGTAGTCCAAAATATATTTTCTCCCTTGCCTTCTTGGATAGTGTTATAGCTTGAAATTATGATAGGTGACCTTCCTTGTCAACAAAGGTAAGTGTCAGTTTACCTCATTAGAGAATTTGGTTTTAAAAAGTTAAGTCTCTCCAGAGAAACTATTCAGAGGACTTAGCATTAGGCCTGATGCAGCAGAAAACTGTTCAGATAGATTTCATATGGCTAGTCTCTACAGCAGCCTTGACTGAACGTATCCCTTTAAATTCATATTCCAGCTTTGTAAACAATTCTTATTTCTAATTCTAGCCTTCCAGTTCTAATTAATTTATGCATCATAGTAAACACCTTTCACATACAGTACTATTTACCTTGCATATGACTTACTACAGTCAAATATGTAAAAGAGTTTGTGTGGTTCTACTTAATTTTATGTATGGCTCTTTCACTTCGCAATAAAAAAAATCTATTTTAATTATGGAGGGGAAATGTTTTACAAGTGTAAACTCGCAAAAGTTGGCAGCAAGGGTTTTTGTGGATAAGTGCTAAATAACTTTTAAATTGCTGTTTTGCACCTGCTAACACTGAACTATTTGTGCAAATGTAACTGTTATCATAAAGTGCTGGAATTCATGGATCTTCAGATGCATGTGAACTAGAACTAATACCTCTTTTCAATTTACTGCAAAGAAATTCTTCAGTGTTTACATTCTGAGGTGTTAAAACAGATTAGGAGGGATATTTAATGTGACCTTCCTACGGGTTTTGTTTTAGTTCTGTTCTTCTCCCAGCCTGCCATGTGAAATTAATTTGTCATTGTTTAAAAAATCTAGATTTTTACCTTCTTGGCCCTTAAAAATTGGGAGTGTATTTCACCCTTTTAAGTGTATCTTTTGCCTTTGTTACTCTCCTCCCATCCCAGTTTCTGGTTGTACAGAGATTAATTATGAAAACATTTTGGTTTGCAGGGAGGCTGTGTGGATTCAACAAATCAGAGCCTTGCTCTGCTCCTTATGACCCTTGGACAGCGGGACGTTTCCAAAGTCCTGTTGGGACCTCTGTCTCCATACACGTAAGTTGTTTTGTTCAGTTCAGTTACACAGTCTTGTTTTAATTCACTAGTTTTATTGCATAGCTATTTTTATGTATGGAAGACTTTGCCTGTGGTAACAAATAGAACAACTTGTACCTGACTTCAAATGAGAAAAGTGGTGCAAATTGCCTAGGGTTTGTTTCTACATATTGGATGAGTCCCTTACTGTCCTATATTATTCCTGTTTCTGAGAATTGCAGAGACAGGGTTTATTGATGGTTCTTGACGTGGAATGTATGTGTACATCAGTTGGCTTTTTGTTGCCTAGTGTACACTAGTATGTTTTCCCTGGTGATCTCTCTGTAGCTGTGTCATTAAATGTTGTATTTCAAATGGCTAGCCAAACTCTAAAGCTGTGATTTTTCCTATGAAACAGCTTAAAACTTCAATTCATAGAGCTATGTGCTATTTCAAGGTTTTATTGGGCAGCAGAATCCTATCTGGTCCTTTAGTCTCAGTTTTCACTAAAGCTTTGTCTGTACCTGGTAGTTGTCCAGGGGATAGAAAATAAATTAATTTCTTATATTGCTAGTTGTAAACACAGGTTACAGAATCATCAAGGCTGGAAAGGACGTCTAAGACCAAGTCCAACTTTTGACTGAACACTGTTTCTCTACTAGACCATAGTGCTAGATCTGGTTGTTTCTTTCACACTTCCACAGATTGTGACTCCACCACCACCATGGGCGGCCCATTTAAATTCTTAACAACCCTTGCAGTGAAAAAACCTTTCCTGATATCCAACCTGAACCTACACTGGTGCAGCTTGAGGCCATTTCCTCTAATTCTTTCACTTGTTGCCTGGGAGAAGAGACCAAACCCTCACCTGTCTACAGCCTCCTTTCAGGCAGTTGTAGAGAGCAGTAAGGTCTCCCCTGAGCCTCCTTTTTTCTCCAGGCTAAACACCCCAAGCTCCCTCAGGTGTTCCTCCCAGGACTTGTGCTCCAGACCCTTCACCAGCTCTGTTGCCCTTCTCTGGACATGCTCCTGCACTTCAATGTCTTTCTTGGAGCGAGGGGCCTAGAACTGAGCACAGGATTTGAGGTGTGGCTTCACCAGCGTTGAGTACAGGAGGACAATCCCTGCCCTGCTCCTGCTGGCCACACTATTGCTGGTGCAGGCCAGGATGCCATTGGCCTTCTTGGCCAGCTGGGCACTGCTGGCTCATGTTCAGCTGCTGTCAGCAGCACCCCCAGCTCCTTTTCCTGTGGGCAGCTTTGCAGCCCCTCTGCCCCAGCCTGTGGCACTGCCTGGGGTTGCTGTGACCCAAGGGCAGGAGCCAGCACTGGCCTTGTTGGACCTCACACCACTGGCCTTGGCCCATGATCCAGCCTGTCTAGATCCCTCTGCAGAGCCTTCCTGCCCTCCAGGAGATCAGCACTCCCACCCAGCTTGGTGTCACCTGCAAACAGACTGAGGGTGCACTCAATCCCCTCATCCATGTCACTGATGAAGATGTTAAACAGAACTGGCCCGAGTGCCGAGCCCTGGGGAACACCACTGGTCACTGGCCACCAGCTGGATGTAACTCCATACACCACCACACTCTGGGCCCAGCCATACGAACAGTTTTTTTACCTAGCGAAGAGGGTACCCATCCAATCCATGGGTTATTACTATAGTTCCCTGGGTCTTCCTTCTGACCCTGCTGGTATGAGCATCACACTGGCCAACTTCCAGTCCTCTGGGACCTGCTCAGTTAGCTAGGACTGATGCTACATGATAGAGATTTTCTTGGGGAATTCTTCTTCTTGCTCCCTCAGTACCCTTGAAATGAATTCCATCCAATCCCATAGAATTCTTGAGTGTCTAAATGGCTCAGTACTTCACTGTGTATTTCAGAAGATCTATTCTCCCTGTGCCCCAGCTAGGAGGCTAGTTGCCCTGAGGATGAGTCTTACTGTTAAAGACTGAGGCAAAGAAGACATTGAGGACCTCAGCCTTTTCCTCTTCCTTGATGGCAATGTTCCCTTCTACATCTAGTAAAGCAGGAGATTTTCCATGGCCTTCCTTTAGTTTTTAATGTATTTATAAAAACACCTTTTATTATCTTTCATGGCAGTAGTCTAATTGAGTTCTAGGAGAAACTGATTAGGGAAACAAATTATCAAAAAATTATCAAAACAAATTTATCAAAACAATTTATCAAAAATTTAATTTTTCAGACTTGCAAGGGATTTATTAGATCACAGTTATTTCTAGAGACTGAGCAGTTTTCTTTAGTCAAATGAAGGGAGGTTTGTTTATCTGGCAATGGCATCAAACAATAAGAGTATGAACTGTCCTTTTTCGGTTATCATGGTACCGGTGCTGTATACGTGAAAGGTACAGTACTGTGATAACTGAAGAATGGTGGTGCCATCACATGAGAGCTAAAAATTACCTAACTGCTTTTCTCAACTCCTGAACAACATTCATCAGATTTTGAGGGGAAGATAGGGAAGTGTCCCACTGCACAAAGGGGAAGTAATCCCCTGTAAAGTAAGTATTTATGTGGAATGTTTCAGAAGAGTAGATATTAGTGTTTGAAGTGCACACTTAAGCATATGGGACAATCCAATCACTTTTCATTGTGAGGATTTTTTAATTTTTTACCCTTTTTTTGTTCTGTGAAAATCAAGCAAATGCACTAGTTTATTTTGTAAGCAGGCTGAGTTGAAGTTCATGGGTTGTCACTTCTTCCAAGCTAGGTGTATGCAGCAGGGATAGAGGTCAGGAGTACACATACAGAAGCAGCACATTGTAAAATCTATGATTCTGTGAGAATCTGTGACTCATCAATCCTATGAGGATCTGTTCAGACAGAATGCAGCTTTTTATGCATTCAACAACTAGAGCTTTTTATGCCCTCAGCTAGGGCTGTTTATGAAGAACTGGTAAATTTGGCTCCTAAGCAACTCATTGGATACACAAGCTATGAAGTGAATTGCGGTATTGTCATGTTCCGTGTCCTTGGCCCTTCTTTTTTTTCAGAGCTGTGACATCTCTGTACTTAACATTTTCACCCTACAGAATCTGAAATTATTTAAAAGCTATGTTACTGGCTTCCCTGTCCATCATGAATGTGACAGTTCAGCTGGGTGCTGAGAGCATCACATGGGGACAAAATGCTTTGGAACATAGCCATTAGAATGAGGAAACTTCTTATATTCACAGGAGACATCTGTTGTCTCAGCTAACAATGGGGAGTGGAAGTGCAGGCAACACCATGAGCAGGGCTGTCCTGAGTGGCAATGGAGCTAACAGTCTTCATGACCAGCAGCTGCTCTGCATTACTCCTTTCTTAGTATCCCTATTTCACAGAAGCAAGTGCCTTTCTGTCAAGCTGAGCTTAAAATCAAATGCAGGGTGCTGGCCATCCCACTAGCTCACAGGGATCAGTCTGGCAGGACAGACCTGTCTGCATGCAGGTGGATCAGCAGGAGCCAGGGGTATGTGAAGCACAGCAACAGGAAAGCCTGTTGTGCCCCAAAAGCCTGGGTGCCCCAATCCATGGCTTTGCAAGGGTTTAGGGGCTTCAAGAGGTGGGGTTAGAGTGCCTCTGCCGAGCCAAACTGACACTTGCAGTTGCTCCCCTGACTGGGGATGCCCACCCCCAGCTCCTCAGTCTGTCTCCTCCTGGGAAGGTCTCTGGCAGGACTCAGGAGAGCCGTGCTGGGGCTGCCACTGCCAGCGGGCAAAGCCCTCTGCAGGCCCCAGTGCAACTGAATCAAGAATGCACTGCTAGTGCACAGGTCTTCTCACACTGGTCTGTTAGTTGGTTGCTTTGCCCAGTGTGTGAAGTTCTTGTGTACTTCTTGGTAATTCTTAGCAGGCTTTGGGGAAAAGACAGCACTTAGATAAACAGGCCTTTTACTCTTGTTTTTGGCTGCAAGGCCTCCTCTGTGGCTCAGCTGTCCCTGCACCTAAGGAGCAGCTCTGTTCAGCTGCTGCCTTGTTCTTTCCTGAACACAGAGTGTAAATTTTCAGCAAAATAAACCTTCTTTATACCTTTCACCCCCTCCCTCAGTCCTCCAGCATGTGCCTGTGTGGTTGGCGCAGCCAGCGCTATTATTTGAGGGGCCCACCCGTGACCCAGACCAACCTCAGAGCTAATACAAACCCGCTTTCTGTCACGAACCCCTACTTTCCTGCCTCTTTCTCTTCTATTTTCAGGGCTTGTACCACTTGTCCTTCCACTACTACAAGACCATGCTGGCCTTTTGCTTTTTCTACATTCTCCCCTGGTGTCCCCAGGCAGCCTTCCCTTGCTCACACCCTAGAGAGCCTTTCCCATGTACGTAAGGGCTGATATTTTTCTCACTCTGCTTTTATTCAAAAGGGATAAAAGGCAGTGATGCGGGGTAGCCCAGCTATGTGCAAAGACAGGTATGGGCTGAACTGATCCCACCAACATGTTGCAGAGTTTCCGGATCACCTTTTAGGATTTTTCCCTGAGTCTCTGACTCCACATGGCCTCTGTCATTTTTACAGTTTCTTCTGTGCCCTCCTTGCAGTGTAGCATGCCACTCCTGCTGTTTTGGGCTTGGCTGCTTTCTTGTCACACTGCCAGAGCCTCCGAAAGGACCCAGCTAAGGAGAAGGCTGATACAGAGTTTGTTGTCTGTCAGCTTTACTGAAGCATTTGTGCCAGCATATGCCCATTTGGCTGCTATAGCTGCAACCAGAAACCTTGCAGCTGGAGAGGCATGGAAGAAAAGGTGCTTTTCAGTTCTTCATTTCAACTGTTAGTCCATTTGAGAGAGGAGAAAGCTGGTGTCTGTCCTGAGGCAAGTTATCAGTCCAGGAAGGTGCAGGAGAAAGTATACCTAGCATTGGGAGTGATGTTCCCACATTCACCCTGCAGAGGTATTTAGCAGATTGCCCCAGAGATAAGTAAGATCATCCCAAGCACACACCAGTACAGCCTCTCTTTTTCCAGCTCCTGCCATTTTCCTCTTCTCCCATGCATATATCTGAGTGCAGGAATAGCAGCATGCCCAGCTGAAGTGTATAAAGTGATTTTGCTTCTGCAGTTTTCCTTGTACTACTTCACAAATTCTGTGAAAAGGAGCTGCCAAGAAGCTTCAGAGGCCTCATGATGCCACAGTGGGGACAGGCTTAGGCTTTTGTTCTCCTTCTTCCCATTTTGTGGATACTTACTCTTGATTTGTTGTAATGATGTATGTGCGATTAGCTTGCAATTATGCATGTAGAGCAGACAAGCCAATTTGTGAACTGGATGTCCACATTCCATTTCTTTAAACTAAGAAAGGCATATACCGGTTGCTGGAGGAAATGAACTCTTTGTTCAAGACTGTAGACTTGCTTGTGGCCATGACTGGAAGAGTCCAAACTTCTGTCAGAAGCAATTACAAATTTTCTTTGGTGCAGTTGCATGTTCCCTCTTTCAGAGAAGCCAGTAAAAATGTTTTCTTGGATGTTTTTGGTTTTTTCCTTTTTTTATAGTTTTTCATGTTACTTACCCTCCAGTCAGTGTTTGTTTTGGATCAGTGTGATTGTTCAGTTTCTTGTTGCCTTTCTGTCTGAAATGATGAAAGGATTTTTTTTTCTGAAAATGAGAAAACAGGAAGAATTCTGTGTCTGATTGTAATCCTAATGAAACATTTAACTGAGAAGTGGAGAAGATAGTAATCAGTCAGAAATCAAACACATGCTTTGGGATCTCTCTTAAAGTATGCACCCAATCTTTTGGCTGTGCCTGTTTATTATGTTATATTATTATGTTTTATTTCTGCTTTAAACATGGGGCAGGGGAAAGGAGAAATCACAGGTTGGTGTGGGGTTCATATAGCCCTGATGAAGAGTCAGCATCAGGAGTAAATAACCTGCCTGGCTACATTTCTCTCCTTTCTTTCTTCTTCTCTCACCATTTTGTCTTGCTGTATTACCAGCCATTCCTCTCTCTGCTTATACAGAGAGAGCAGAGGTTTCAGGAGGGGTCACTAGCTGTTTCTACAATACAAATGAGAACAGTGTGTGGAGGTTGTAGCACTGTTTCTCTGTACTAAGCAATGTTTTCTTATTTCTTTCACCATGCTCATTGCTGGAATCTGTGTTGGTACATAATGCTATGGGACTTTCTGTTTTGTTTCTTAAATGGTATTATTTTCTCTCATTCAGAATTGAGTTTCTGCGACACCTCAGAAGCTTCTTCCAGATCATGTTTAAAATTGAAACAAAGACCTCTGAGGAAGAGCACATGGGCGGGGAGAAAGTCTTAATGACATGTGTTGGCATTGGATTTTGCAACCTCAGTAAAACTATAAGATAAAAAACATCTACAGACTCCATGAAAGACAGAAAATGCTGCAAAGATCTAATAAACCATTCCTGTCTCTGTACTTACTCTGGCGTAGGGAGACCTGTGATGATTCCAGTGCGGGATTACCCAAACTCACTGCATGTAAACAATAAAGCTGACTTCAGACTATTTAGATCTGTGCTATTTATAAATGCAATGCCAGTATTCTGTGCTGCTTGGAGTGGCTCTCTGGAGTCTCAGCTGACTTGGGACTCTGCACTGTATTCCGCTGAATGGGACACAAGTGCCTCATGTCACTGTGCTCTCAGGCCTTAATGAGGTGAGTGCTCTGGTTTTCTGTATTTACTGATTTCACTCGTAGCTTTTTCTGAAAGAGAAAGAGATAGATAGAAAGGGAAAACAAAAACAAGCTTTGCATTGCGAAACAGATGATCCTAATGGAAAAATATTAGATTATTGAGGTAATTGCAGAGATAATATTGGCATGAAAATTAAAGGTATGACAGCAATTCTTTGTTTATACATTGTGTGTGTGTAGAATTTGTCAGATGCTTCACTCCTGTTTACATTTACTAAATTCACAGAATTACAAAATAGTCTGAATTGGAAAGGACCCAGAAGGATCACTGAGCCCAACTCTTAAGTGAATGGCCTATACAGGGATGAAATACATGACCTTGGCATTATTAGCGCCATGCTTTAACCAGCTGAGCTCATCTCAGCATTACAGTTTCAAAGGAAAAATAAAATATCTGTCTTTTATTTTTCCTAATGTTGGAATACTGTAGAAGAGACCACAGCCTAGACTGACTTATTTTAGCCTCTTTTGCAAAGATGGGCATGGGAGGAGAAACTTTCATGGCAGCTTTTGACTTATCACATATATTCTTTTTAGGTTTGTTTGACATGCTATACACATCTCACAATTAGTTGTTAGAAGTAGCAAAAATAGCTGTACGCTTTGAGAAAGAAAAAGATACTCAGTTCCACCATCATATTTTGCGCATCTGCTCCCTTTTTATACTGCCAGTAATGCTGTATGGGATGGATTGACAGATGTGAAAAAGTTTCTGCCATGAAAGGCTTCTGGTAGATTCCAGGCAAACCTGTTGAACTTAATGCTGAACTCCTTACACAAGGGAGGAAATTTATATTTGACTTCAGACTATCCTTCATGTGTCTGGAGGAATATAAAACTGTGTCAAAAGCTGGTATATAGAGAGAGCAGATACTAGTGACTGTTAAAATGGTTTCACAAACTTCATCTGATGCCACTGTAAGGTGGGCATTACCTCTGCAGTATGAAGAATATATATTAGACCCAAAAAGGACTTGGACAGAGGTTTGGTATTTGATCACTATTTTGTTAACTTTTGCAGGCCATGTGAGTAATTTTTTATTGTACTTTGTTCTTGTTGCAATCTGTCAGATATAATTTGAAAAAATAAAGGTTTTTTTTTTTTTCCTAAATAAGGTTTTACTTTCCTTTAAAGCAAAACAGACAATAACTGGGGGGGAAAAAAAAGCCTGGAAGTCTTTCCTAAGCCCATCATAATATAAATGGCTATCTTGAACTGATGCATCAAAAAAAAACAAACTCGGGAGTTGTCAGAGAGGGAGGAAGGAAAAGGGTGAAGCCATTCTTATAATTTATTAGATTTCTAAAATTTGACTTGCAGCCAAGGAAATCCTAAATAAAACAATAGGATGTAAAATAAAAGAACTTGACTATATTTTTTACATTTCAAGTTAGAAAAAGGAATATAGACCTGAAAGAATCTGCCTTGCTCCCCTCTGTAACTATGTAATGAGAAAACTGGAAATTTCAGGAATTAAAAGTATCCAAAATACAAGGCACCACTGATCCACAAGGTGAAATGTACAAACTAAAATTAAAAGCCAGTAGAATAGAAATATAAAGCTTACAATAATTAAAGATTCAAATTTGTGCCACAGGTCCAGTTTCCAAAATTTGCTTAAATAAAAATTTGCAAGTATTGTCACAATTTCAAAAATGAAAAGCTTTATTCTTTTTAAGCTTAACCGTAAAGCTGAGTTTTTCCACATGTTCCAGTTGCACCAGACATAGAGAGGGCAATAAGTTGCCCAAGCAGCAGACACTATGTTACACAATTACCTGTACTTAACCTTAGTGTTAAAATTGGACTGGTAAGCCTTAGCCCTGCTGAAATTGCATAGCTCTACAGCACACCATTTGCTGCAACAATTCAAATCCCGTGAATTTGCTTGTTGCTTTTCAGAGAAAAAGAATGGTATATGAAACTAATAAGTTTTTCCAGAACAGTCACTCTTTGGAGAAATATTAATTTCAGATGAGGTTTTAGGTAAGAATTTTCTTAAAATTGTATGGCCTTCATGTTCTGGGAAGAGTACTTATTAGAAGGAAATCCTGCAGATAAAAGCTGTTTGTTTATCAGCAAAACAGCAACTGACATCTGTTTTGGTGGTCTGATCACACAAGCAGTAAGATTTTAGAGCTGGACAAAGGAAATTAATTTTTGGTGAAAAAAATTCGTAGTGTTGGTAACCAGAGACTTTATGGTGAAGATGGTAGTTACTAGGAGACACATCTTTCATCTCAGTCCGTCCGTCCATAGCAGAGTAACACTCAGGTAACTTAAATTTTAAGTGATTAGCTGTACATGAGTAATCCATCAGTAATTTAGTTAATTCCTTTTGGGTGAACAGCTTTGATAATAGAATCAAAATGGTTTTGGTTAAAAGAGTCCTTGCAGATCATCTAGTTCCAGCATCCCCCCAACCAGATTGCTCAAAGACCCATTCAGTCTGGCCTTGAGCACTTCCAGGGACTGAGCATCCACAGCTACACTGGGCAACCTGTTAGAGCAGCTCACCACTCTCACAGTAAGGAATTTCTTCTAATAGCCAATCTAAACATACCTTCTTTAGCTTAAACCCATCACGACTTGTTCTGTCACTACATGCCCTTTTAAAAATTTCATTTCCAGCCTTCCTTTAGGTCCATTAGGTACTGACTTAAAGGTGCTATAAGGTCTCCACAGTCTCCTCCCAGCTCTCTCAGCCTGTCCTCATGAGGAGAAGTGGTGCTCAGACCCTGGGATCTTTACTGTGGGCCTCCTCTGGACTTGCTCCAAGAGGTCCAGGTTGCATTTTGGGGTCCCCAGAGCTGAATGCACCACTGCAGGTGTGGTCCCATGACAGTTGCAGTCACAGCGGTGACATTAAAGGTATTTGTAAAATATGCCTTTACCTTGCATCTCCTGCCAATTTTGTAATACCTGTTGTCAAACTTTCTTCTATGTTATGATTGTTACGATGTTATGATTGTAGTTTGACTGCATCTTCTGTAGCTATGTCAGAAAATCCATGCTAACTTGCTGTAGCAAATTGCTGTAGGACAGCTTCTGGAGTAGAAGAGATTATGTTGGAAGCAAAATTGTTTCATTCCAAGTGCACTTTATCAGAGGGATATGGCTAGAAGCCAGTGCAATAACTGTCTGGGGAAGCACACAGTAGGTAAGTTGGCTGGGCCAAAACAGTAAGTACATAGCTGTCTTGGGTAATGTTTTCAAAATGGTGTTTTGTTATTGCCACAGCATATATGCTTTCTCTCTTCTTCCTCTTCCCCATGGGTGATATGGATTTTGTTTCAATCCACAGAGGCATAATTCTCTGCTTGCAAATTCTGACATTCACTTCCCTGTTTCTCAATCATACTCTTGAGAAACCAGATGCAAAAAGAGACAAGCAAGAAACCAATTTTCAGGATGCATAATTTTGTCTATGAGTTAATTTCCTTTTTTATTATTATTTTTTTTTTTTAATATTGTATGGCCATCTCCATGCTTTTATTTTGTATGTCTGATGTATGTCCACTTCTATTTAATCTGGCTCCTAAGGGATCCCAAGTGAGACACACAATTGTGTCAGGGCAACTCTAAACAAAGTAAAAATGTGGAAGGAGCATCTTTAGCAGTTACTCCTTAGGTCTTGGTAAGCTGTATCTGAAAAGAGCATTCACGATGGGAACTGTAGTGTCTTCCTTGTGCCTGTTGCTTCTGAGCAACACTGACCAGCTCTGAAAAACACTTATAACCTGTTTTCGGTGAGAGGGGTTAAAAGACAGTCCTGCAGGGAAGAGAGTGTGTGGGCTGAACTGTGTGGTGACGGCATTGGGTGAGTAACAGAAGCAAGTCATGCACTGTGTCACAGCATCACAATGTCCAAATTGCACCAGGACTAGATATAAATTGAGTTGTGACATTGTTACAAGACAGAACTATTAGGATGATTTGTAGTAAATCTGTAGCAATAGATGTCAGGTGTTAGTGCTAATCTCTTTCCTGGAATAGTAAGATTATGTATACACATGAAGAAGAGTGCCCAGAGCTGTATTTCCTGTGTATTAAAGAGTGTAAACATAATCTGTGTATGTAGCAATAAGGAGACCCACAGAGGAAACCCGGTTTAAAGTGGTATTGATCAAGGGTGTTGCTGCAAGAAAACAAAATAAATTCTTTACATGAGAGTGAGCAGTGGTGTGTGCCCACAGAAATTGAAGTAGCAACTGCTCTGCACAACTGAGCACACAGAGGTGGGCTGTGTCTTTGCATATTTGTCCTCATGCTGTATGTTGGCCGCATTGTCACTCCCTCTTCTCAGTACCAGTCTGGCCATGCTTCCCTCTGTTGTGTTGCTCATACAACAAACATCAGTGCTGCTTCAGCAGTGATCCTGTGGTGAAAATCTGTAGGACCTTGTGGAGATTGATCCGTGTGAGGGATCTAGTGCTTAACTATGGATGAACTAGTAGGATTAAGGGCTTAATTCCAGTGATCATCACTACATGTCAGTGACACATCCCATTTTACAAAATACAACAGGCTCAGGAGGGCACTCATTTTTGCAGGATGCCTCAGAAGTTACAGGCTTCAGAACAAATGCCTTACCCCTTCCCACTGCATTTTAAACTGGCCACCACCTTACTCCTTGAAAGTTATTTAAATCTTTTTTTGATCCTAAACTGTCTCCAAGGATAAGAAAAAAAAACTGCTTTAGCAAATTTTGCATAAATCTAGATATATTTTGTTAACTTTGATGAATGTGGATATATTTCGTAAGTTAAGACTGTGGTTCTGAATCATCCCTCAGCACATCAAGACAAACAATTTTCTTTGTCTGTCTGGTAATACAGTTTTGATTCTGTATAATGCACTAAAGACTTGCAAGATGCATCTAGATCAAAACATGCATGAATTTTGATTATTTACTCTTTTTCTTTCCAACATCATGAAAGTGGGGAAAAAAGAGAAGAAAACCACAGCCATACTGTTTTGTTTGTGTGCCATCATTCAGAAGGTGCCTGAAGCAGTATGGCTTCCTGAGAGATTCGTAAAAGTATTTGTATTTAGAAAGACATCTAAACATTCAGAATGTGTCTGGGAAAGAATTTCTATTGCAGAATCTTTCTGAGCAATGATTGTAAAAATCTACTTAATAATTCATGCCACAATTTTA